AAGTTCAGGAAAAGAAAAAGAAAGTCGTTGTCTTGCGTTCAAGTCCTCCACAAAACATGAAATCATGCATTTTCACGTAGTAGTCGTGCAGTGGCTGCAAAGAAATGTACAAAAAAGTGTGATACACGTGCAAAGTTGTTGTTTTACCAATCGAAACCCATTGCTTTTTTGCTGTTCTCGTTTACGTCGCCGTCGTCCTTGCTTTAGCCCTCAAGAGAGGTTTTATTTCAATGGTCACACCGAAAGATCTTGTACACAGACTCAAACTGAGTTAGAACCACTCTACAACAGCTCTATCATTCACCCTGGAGTGAATTCGAAAGGGTTAAGGATTGCTGTTACCTGGTGATACAGTGAGAAGGAGAATAGAACAAACCACACAGCAGAATTGTGGATGTTTTTGTTTTGTTTGCCAAAAATTGTACAAATCAAATGAAATCTAATTACTTAAACTCTCATGGCGTGGAAGCCCAAGAAAAGCCACCGGGCTTATTAACATTTTTTTACAGTTATAAATACACACAATAATCGATTGCAAAACAGAGAGATGGGAATTTATACAAATTTTATACAATAAAAAGTTAATGTACTCTGGGTATTGCCACTTATGGAGTTGTGTCAGGATCACTGGAAGGATTGTACATATTTTGTACGTGTTTGCTGCCAAACGCAAGGTATTATATAATTACAAATTCCCTGTCAAAAAGTTCCATGAAATATTTTTTACAGTAATGACTACTATTGTCTGAACACAGGTAACCGTCGTAACCCATGCTTTGTGATAGTACCACAGTCACCGTTCCAGTAAAATTGCAGTGTTTGTAAGGAATAAAAATACGATCCTAAAATTTGTAGGAAATACTAAATAAAGGTCAATGAAACTTACTCTACAGTTAGCTGTTGTTGTCTTAATGCTCAAACGAATTTTCGTGATAATTTGCTCAAATTCACCCTCCATGTTCCCTTTCCTACACAACTTTTTCCACGAAATTCGAACTCCAACGGTAAATAAACAGGCTAGGATCGTAGAAATAAGATAGCACCAGATGTAGAAACCAATGAAGCTTTCCCAGCTCAGTAGAGAAACGAATCCAGCAGACTTTGACAAACTCGAAGGATATAATCCAAAAAGGCCGAAAGAGACGCACGCACTGAAGTGGCCGAGCCAGATCAACCAGCGGCCAAGCAAATGAGGCCTGAGCACTGTATAAATCTGATAAATCAAATCTATCCCGGGTAACCTGGGGTGACCTTTCTATGGACCGATACCTTGCTTGCACAAAGTTAGCCTCCCCTGCTGGAAATAATTTGCTCGAGGGCTATTGTTCACTTGCGCCAATCACGAGTCGCCCAAGCAAAACCAGTGCACTCGCCAAAAAGAGTAAAAAAAGAAACAGGTAAAACTTGACAGCTACATTTTGTAATTTTATTAACTCTCAGAAAACTCCACTTTTCATAGCTTAATTGACCACGACGGCAGCGACAACAATAACCATAAACAACAATAGTGTAGATTAGCAAAACATCAGCTTGGCACGTCATCACGCTTTATTTGTTTGTTTCTACCAAAAAAAGAGTGATGCAAGGTCTCAAGGTGATGTTTTGCTTATCTTATACGCCACTTCCACATTTGCCGCATAATGCACCTTATTTGCCCCCCAAAATGTTGAATAACCTTTGTTTTTTATTTCTCCTGGGTATTAGAGCTGTCCGGTCCCAAGAGAAAATGAAAACAATGCTTATGCAAAATTTTGGGGTTTAGGGGCAGATTATAAACAATTATTGGATGAGGTTTTTGTGATATCCGGAATAATCAAGGTCAAGGTAAGTGTTATCAGCCGAAGCCGAAGGCTGAGGCTGATAACACTAACCGAGACCTTGATTATTCCGGATATCACAAAAAACGAATTTAGTAATTGTTTTATTATACTTTATCTTCAAGTAATTTCTAAATTTCTTGCTGGGTCGATGAAGCGAATCGAGAAGCCATTCTTACTTCGCTGTCCGCGAACTTGACATTGCTGTCCGTGCACTTGACATTGCTCTTGGAAATGATGCATTGCGCGCGCAACCTACAGATACAGATTAGTGAATAATCTGTAGGTTGTGCTGTTTCCCAGAATTAACACCGCGTCTCGCCTTTCTCGCGTGAGGTGATTTCCATGCGCGCTCGCGTTTCACTCGCTGTACTATCCCTGAGGGAAAATGGGGACTACTCGTAGTCTATTGTTTGGAAAAACTGTTTGAATGCAGAGGTCCACGCAACACGTAAATAAAACTGACTGGTTCCTCTTGCCGGATCTCTAATTAAAGAGATGCTGTAGCCAGACGTCACTTAAAGTGTAAAATAAAACAAAACTGAATGCAGAGCTAGAACTATTGTTGTTATTGTTGTTTGTTTGTTGTTCTTGTTGCCGCTGCCTTCATGGTCCATTAAAGCTTTCTATTTTTGAAAAAAAAAAGGGAAACTTTAAAGTATTCTGGGAGTTAAAAAAATACAAAATTTAGCCATCCATTGCAACTTGATTTAAATCATTCTCTATTACCCTGGTTATCTCCGAGGTGCAAAGATTCGTAAATTATATTACAGTATCATCGGCATATATATTAATAGAACAGTTTTCTAAACACTGGGGCAGATCATTAATGTATAAAACAAAAGGCAGAGGACCAAAATTGAACCTGAGGGATGCCAAAACGAATGGCTCTAGTTGAAGACATGTCATTTCCAAATTGCACCCTTTGAGTTCGTTTTGTAAGCTATTTCCGGAACCAATCCAGTCTGCCTCCTCTGACTCCGTAGTGTTCTAGCTTTAAAAACAAAAATTCATGGTCGACTGAGTCAAACGCTTTTTTCATTCATTAAACACAGCTCCAGTAACCATTTGCCTACCTATATGTTTCAGAATATAAGCAGTGCGGTAAACTACCGCAGCTTCAGTGGAGTGTGCTTCTTAGACTGGCTAAGCTTTATTGTATTACTGCGCTTTTCACAAACATGCGAACTCTAAAATTCAAAAGCCGCCTTCACAATTGCGTTTTTCGCTGCCGTCAATCATAATTACGATCACAAGCAACGAGCCTTGAAACACAGAAACACACAAGACGGATCGAAATCCACCAATCACACAGCAGAACCCTTGACCTTTTGAACCCGTTAAAGTAAAGTTTTGTTTCCTAAGAGGTCCGTTAAGATGATTGACGGCAGCGAAATACGCAATCGTCAGTTGGCTTTTGAACTTCAGAATTCGCATGTTTGTGAAAAGCGCAGTAAGATATTTCTCGTTACATTACACAACGCCTATTTTACGTAGAAAACGCATGATCACTCTGCTTTAGCTTTTAGTTGGATTTCGCTGTCTTCATGTGTGTATCTATACTTTATTTGGTTGGTTCATTCTTTGGTTGTTAGAGGCAAGCGGGAAACGAAATCAGATATATATGTAAGTTTTATCCTCTGCAGTTTTGTTAACCTAACAACTAATAAAGTATATTGCCATAAGAAGTTAGTAGCTACCTCGTACCATGACGTTACTACGCCTTTTTGAGTTTGAAGTATGTTTTTTACTTTTAGTTCTGCGAGGGAATCTCATTTCCTTTAGTTTATTTGTTTCCGTGCCTTTTGCAAAAGTAATCTATCCTTAGATATATATATATATTTTGTTAGTTGTTAGTATTACTCAGGACGCAACCACTAATGTTTGAGAAAGTTTTTTCACTCTTTTATATCCAAATTCATGTTGAAATTACTCATTTCATGTACGCCCTTTTTCCTCTTTAAGAATATATTTGACAAGAATATCGAGGCTGAAATTTGCGAAATTTGAAGAACATTTGAACAATAAACTTCAGGTTGAGGTTTTGAAAAGGATATTATTTTGTGTGCTGAAAATTTGTAAATACAATACACTAATTTTAAATGAAGATATGATCGTCGCAGTGTGAACAGTATACTATCCGGCAGGGTTTTTCGTTACAGGTACCGGTATATGTGTGTATACATAGCCTTAAAAAGGATCCATCTCATAGTGCACTTTGGTTACGAATATATATTCCACGCTGACCATGCTACACTCTTAAGACTGACAGAGACTGGAAAACTTCTTATTTTTGTCTCGACATTCAGGCCACAATCGCGATCTCGAGAAACTGGATAGCCCTTTTTCAGGGGCGGATCCAGAAAATTCAGAAAGGGGTGGCGAGGACACTTTCCAGCTACATAGATACTCTTTATTTTTCTGAGAATTATATTAAAATAATAAAAACTTCAAACAAAAAGGGGTGTCCGCGGTCCCGTCGGCCCTCCCCAAAATCGAAAAAATACCATAATACTCGTTTTTATCCCTCCAAAATTTTGTATAAGCATTTTTTTTCAATTTCTCTTAGGCATGAGGCGTTTGTAAGTCCCAAGAGAAATTGAAAAAAATTATGCTGAAAATTTTGGACGGGAAATAGTGTAAGAAAATGCGATGAAAGTCCAACTTCCTGCCTTGCACGTTTAGAAAATAAGCACGCTGGAAAAATTTGCTTAAAAGGACTGTTAATAAAAATCGCTTTGTCATGTCACGTTCAAGAAACTGAGGGGATACAATGAATAGTTACCAGGAAAAATATGATTTACCATGGCTGTGAACACGTCACGGAAAGACACGGAAATCGATTGTTTCGCAATGATGTGAACTATCCAAGAGAATCAACAAACACTCAAAAAAATCCCAGTAGAATAATAATAATAATAAATGATATCCACAATATCGTGATCTTTGAAGAATTAAAAAAAAATCCTGAAAAAAAGGGAAAAAACGTTGGTACATGTTCCCAAGATTATGAGTGCGAATGCGTACGTGACAGGAGTCAGGACCTGCGACATATGTGACGTCATATCACTTCAACACGAGACCGAGGCAGTATATATTCTCATTTTTATACTCCTTCAAGAAGAGATAGATAGTCAGTTTTCTATGCTTTTTTAGAAAGAAAGTTTCGATATATTTGCAACTATGTTTACCAGAGGTGCTGTTTCAGCCATGTCTCTTTTTCGAGGATCAGAGTCAAGGATGTTCCTTGCTCCACTGAGAAGTATTTCAGCTTTGAGCAACAGAGCGTCTCTGCTTCGTCCAAGGTTACGTGTTGGGAGTCGATCGCTGAGTAGTCAAGAAGCTACATCAGGTAAAACTATTTTCATTAAGTTTTTTAAGTTAGTAAAGCCTGTTAGTTTTGAGCGATGTTTCTTATCGCTTCAGGCTTCCATTAAATTACTCGTAAAATTAGCGTGATGATCTGTTTACATAAAGTGAAAAGTTCTTCATGTAAGCTGTCGTACATTTGCCAGATAACCATTTGAAAGACACAGAACATTAATGATCTATGTATAGCAATTATTTTTCTCTTTTACTTCCTCTTGTGTGTCTCATGCCTTCCCACTCACTCCACGTGTTGTACAGGATGATGGTATGTTGAACTCCTCTTCCAGGGGGTAAGACAGGGCGACTCAGAACCTCCTGCTTCCCATACCCTGCCCTTCTAACCTTTGTCTTCCAACTTTGGCCCTTTGATGTCTGACAGGAATGTATAACTTAAAGTAGTAGTAACATTTTATTTATGAACCAAATTTTGTACAGTTTTCTCTATTTACCGGTAACTAATGACTGAAGTACACATGTAGACAAAAAATAAATGTATCAACAACAGATAAATTTGAACTTTAACAATATTATTATTCTCAACCAGCCGTGTTTTAGAACTGGTTGCAATTTCCAAAGTCACAAATGAGGATACATGTAGTTACATTCATTTTAATTTCTTTAGTACAAAACTGTTTTCATCTACCATAGAGGCGGAAGTACAGGCAATGTTCTACACTGGACTTGATATAGTTTTCTGTATTTTGTTTTAGGATCTCAAGTGCCTACTATGCATAATGTAACAACCGTGGACAGAATCAGCCTCATCTTAACAAGAACTATGAAACCACCAATACCATCTGAAATTCCGTAAGTCTGATTTAAGTTTACTGGACAGGGCTGTGCTTTAGCAGCAACCTGAGTGCCCTGGTGTCTGACTTTTGCTATGAGTAACTAGGAAATCTGAGTCAGTTTTTGCATGTAAATAATATGCTGGGCACCCTGGATTTCAGGTTCAGAGCATTTGAATCCCTAGAATTTTTCTTAGAGCACAGCCTCGCTGGAATATCAATACCCATATTCTGAATACTGTTCTTGCTGCATTTCTTTTGTGAAGATTCTGTTGGACATGAAAATTATTCTGTAAAACTACTTTGTTGATGATGCATCATTTTTTTAATAAAGAAACTGAATCTGGATTTATGGGATATTGCATATGATTTTAAAAGATCAATAATAACAAATCATATCCAATTATTGTGCAAAATCACACCATTGGCTAACATCAGAAGCCCTGGATAGTTAAAAACATGGGAACAGGGCTCAAAATAATGGCCGGTCAATGGACAATGTCCGGCCTGATCGTGGACTTGACTGGTCAAACTCTCGTCTTGCCAGTCATTTTTGGATGCGAACATTTTATAATATTTTCCATATAGTTGTTGCTTAATGCGTTTTGCTCTATAACATTGTTTGTCCAGGCTAAAAAGTATTTGGCCCGTCATCATGACCGGCGACCTGCTGTACGTTATTTTGAGCCCTGGGGAAAGAAACCAAATGGCAAGGAATTAGATGAACAAAAACGAAATTAACCAGGACGTTACATGTCGATAGAAATGGATCATTGGAAAGCTAGTCGACAAGTTGACAGTGCTCAATATTTGTCAATAATTATTGTCTATTGATTAGTTAAATGTTTTGATAAAAGTCGATAATTACAATGTTCTCAGGACAGGTAATCAATTTTGATAGACTTTTGAAACTTTTCAAAGAATATCTGTTGTGGATTTACACAAACTTTATGCAAATGCTGCGTGCGGAGAAGGATTTGGATGTCGGAATTCTTCAAACACAAATGGATGCTACTCGTTTCAAACGGATAAAAAACCATTCAGATAGAGGAGTTCTCGCTCATAGTTGCATCATGGGTAATCAGGGCAAGGTGGCGGGAAATTCAAAGATTTGTTTTGGAATTCAAAGCTAGCTAATTCTTCCTAAATTCATATATTAGCCACATTGTTCTCTTTGAAAACAGTAACTTACAAGTTCAAAGAAATGATAAACTAAATCTGGAGTGCAAAGATGTCCGTGATCAGTTTTTAGAAAACCTTGATTTCTCCTTACATTTTCTGTGATTCGACATTATCAAAATTACAGGAGCATGAACTTCTCTATGAATGTTGCAAATGCTCAACTAGACTGTCAAGAAAGTCCTTCATTCAGTTTAATAATGGTGCAAAACTTTTTGAACCGATGTTAATAGTTTTCTAACAGATATTGAAACTGGTGCTTCTGATCCTTTTTATCTACCAATAGTTTGCAGAAAAAATTAAACTCCAACACCAGTTTTGATAGAAATCAATCATCACACACAATTTTATGATCAACTTTTATCAATTTCACAGGGTGCAAAGAAAATCATTTTTAAAACTTGCCATTTGGGCAAGCTGAAGCTAGCATTTACTAGCCCAGGCGTCATTTCAACTAGCCCCAAAAACTTTTTGACTAGCAGAATTGATTTCACAGTTCTTGATGTTATTCAAATTTCTCAAAAGACATCACTTGCCCGTTGGGCAAGTTAAAAACAGAATTCTCTAGTCCGATAGCAAAATCCACTAGCCCTGGGCTATCGTACACTACTTTCTTTGCACGCTGATTTCAGATATCCGTCCATTGATTATTGTCGAAATTATCAACTTGTAATGTCCTAAATTAATGGGCCTTTGAGTAATGGGCTCCCTCTATTACTTATTTTAACAGCTTATGACTGAATTCAAGTCTCTTTTATCTTTTTCTTTGAACAGAGTGACAACAATGGAACTTGCAAACAGTCGTCGGCGTATAGTCGTGAATGCCACAATGGGATTCCTGTTTCTATTTGGTTCTGTCGCAATTATTCAAGAATACAGTAAGCGTCGCAAGGAGCATACATTGGTGTCACTTCATGACAGAAATGTACAAAGATATGAAAAGCTGAAGGAGGAGGAAGCTGCCACTGAGACTGGAAATGAAAAGTAGTTGAAAAGTGATTTATTACTTTCAAATAATAATTTATTTTTAACTCTAGGTTTTAGCAAACTACAGAAATGACTGTTTGAAGCCTAGCTTTAACTATTATAAACTATGTACTTTAAAAAGTTTAATAAAATTCTACTAGTTTAGTATCTCAAAGTATGATCTGATTGGCTAACATACTTGCTATCTATCAGCTCATGGATGGCAAGTAGATCAAGCCAATCAGATAACTGGAAACTTTTCAAATAGCTGTTTTCCTGCTAGCTGTGGTTGTTCAAGCTGTTCTTTCTCTCAGCACTTCTTGATTGAAAAGAAGGACAGAACTCTAGTCTGAAATGCTCTGGATGAAAACACAAACACAAAGAAAACTTTGTTCATTGTCAAGTCCACCCCCCACCCCCTCTTAAAAGACCTAGTGGTTGTTACAACTGAAAGTCCTGGCAAGCTGATAGTGTATCAATATCCATGGGAAGGTATTCCCTCTTGTTAACTTTCCTAATGAAAAGAGTGGTTATCAATTTTTACCCCACTGGTGGGGGCGGAGGTGTCCCATCCCTCCGTGTAAAGAGGACCTTTTGTGAGTTCAAACTTTGAACCGGTGGAAATCTTTCTTGATGTTATCGAAAACATTGGCTGCTAATGGGAAGGATACTTTCTGGGCAGTACATTTATCATATATTGATGTTAATCAGCCACACTGACTGCTCTTTTTAATAATAAATGCATATTCAACAAAACTGAAGACATGACATCTTTCAGTTTTATTCAATTCCATAAGTATAATAAATCTTTGTAATAATCATACATAACCCTCTTCTGTTTCTGATATACTGGTAGAACATAGCCTTCAAAGGTCAAGCCTTTTATTTTAAAAATAATGAAGAAGTCAACTTAAGAGAAGTAAATTCTAAATTTCTAGTGGAAAGAAAATTTTGGTGTATAAAATACAGTAAAAACCAGTGTATAAGAACCTAGATTTTCCCAACTTAGCCTAAATAGGTTCTTATAGAAATGGTATTTAGTGGGATTGTAGGCTGCTTAGGTTCTTAAATAGGTTCTTAATTTGATAGGGGTACTAGTAATCAGAACAGATAACAACTACAGGGAAAATGTGATATGGAATATATTGCTGTATTAAATAATTGTCTAGAATACAGTTTAGATGATAACCATACAGTAAATTTATCTTTATCTCTACTGACTGAAAGCTAGACTAAATTTTTTTCTTTATTTTCATCTGTGCCTTCATTTTTGTAAAATAAGAACCTGTTAAATTAAGTTCTTATAAAAGAGGGTTTAAAATGAAAATTTTAGCCTAACAGGTTCTTAAATACATTGTAGGTTCTTATACGCGGGTTTTTACTGTATTGGATGTGAAAATCAGCAATTTTTGCTGTTGAATTTCCCACGTCTTTTTTTGTAAGTTACACATGTTAGGGGACAGTGGCAGCATTACTGAGGCACATAATTTTTTTTTTATTTAACATGGTAGCGCAATGGAAGTTTAAACTGAACTGAAAAGAGCGATTGAACTTTGGTATCATTTTTTGTGCACTAAAATCTTCTCGTCTCTGCAGGCTAGAAAAACGCTCATTTTTACTTCCTTTAGAAAATTAATATCATTCAGTGAAGATCGATACGTTAAGAGAGCAGAGAATGTGGTTTTAGAGTGCGGTTTGCAGCAACATAAGTTTAAATGTGTCTGTGACTGTGTACAGTCACCCCTTTTCTCAAAAGAAAAAGACGGGGGAGAGAGACCGATTTTTAAGAGAGAGGACGGCTGTACACGAGCTATGTGTGTGTGGTAATTCAGTTGCGAGATTAAATATAATAAATTTAACAGTAGTCTGTTAAACCGTGTTGTTTTCATTATAAGCTTTCAGAATGTTACTTACTTTTACCTAGAGATGAGCCCCTGAAAGGAGAAATGACTGTCGGTTTGTATGTTAATAAGTCATTGCATTTTGTTGGAATCATGTGACGAAACGAGTTTACAAATTGTGTAATTTTATTCAAACTCTCAAGTGAAAGAATTATTTTAAAATAAAGTAGTGTAGTGTACAGTTGGTAGTATATCGTTGTTTAGGACCACTTTCATTTCCAGATGCTTAATTTACCAGGGCTAGGTTCCTCGGAAGATGGTTGAGTTTAACCCAGGATTAAGTCAAATTTTAAGCAAGGTTTTCCTGTCTAAGAACATGCAACTCGAGCTTTCAAAATATTGTTAAGCCTTTACTCCGAGATACAGTATTATGATAACACATAATGTTATTCCAAGCAATGCAAAGGAAGGTAAAATACAAAAACGGAACAAAATTTTAATCCTGGATTAGCGCTAGCTAATCGAGCTTTTAGGAACCGGGCCCGGGGATGTATTGAAAAGATACCGATTTTAGCATTTGATCTGTGTATTGGTATCGGCTTGAACACACATACTGCTCAGTTTTCTTTCCTAGGTTTTAAATTTCCGTTGCCAGTTTTATTCCACATCGATACTGATAAAATGTCTGCTTCGAAAAACAAAACGTATACGATAGTCTACGTCCACCATCCTGGTGTTTTCGCATCGTTTTCGACCGCCTATCACCGAAATGTTTATTGCCTGCGTAGCAGATGTTTTCGTTTCCTTTTAGCCGCTCTAACTTTTGGCTTCTTTTCACCCCATGGCCTCGCGCATCTCCCTTACTTCGCTTGCGCTGGCTTGGCTAAAATTAACGGAGACAACGCTACGCAGACTACTACGTTTGTACTAGGGGAGACTTCCGGGTTTATATGTGTGTTTGTCGCGCGAAATTAAGGGTATTCTGCCGATTAGCAGGCGTTCATACAAGAGGGGTATTCGGACAACCACCCGCTTACACACATCGATAAATCCGAAAAAAAATCATTCCGGAACGGCCACCACAGAACTTAGCGCAATTTCTCAGTAATCGGAATCAACATCTCGTTAGACGCGACCAAAGCGGTCTTATCGGATTCACCCATCCCCGACTAAACAGGAAAACGAATCCAGTACCAAAAATTTCCGGATCTGTTGCGGTTCTAGAAAAATCTCTGTACACGTGGTCTAAGCCATCAAAAAAGCATCGGGTCGCTCATATCGGTACCCTGTTCCAGGCGTCCAGATAGTGGTGTCGGCGACGCGAAGTCAACCTCCTACCCCACCCCCTCGCTGTTCTTTCCGCTTACATCTTTTTGTGCTGTCCCCAAAATCTGAACGCCTGGAAAAGGCTAACATATCGGAACATATCGGAGATATGTTTTCATTCCCAGGCTCTTCTCGGCAGTGTGTGCGATGACATGTCATACATGGGATGATGTCGGTGTTTTGGGCGATATTTAGGTCCTCTTTAGGTTCTATATATGTTTCAAAAGTTTCTCCTTGAGAGAGTTTCCAAAAGCCTCCTCTACTGACTTTTTCCTGACTGTACAGGGCTGGCTAAACCTTGGAAGGGGTCTTAAACAAACTTACAAAAATTAAGGGATAAAATTGATTCACTACAAGTACAGAGGAGCCGAAGTAATCAGCTCCTGATGAACAACGGTGCAAATGAGGCTCTGTATAGGTGGCTGCGGACTTCGTTTTCGCCGCGCGTTTTCAACCAAATCGTCGGTTTCTCGTCGCGTATCAAGAATCGTTTTGCGTGGTAATGCTAGCAACCACCACCACGACGAAGGAAACGCGAAAATAAAAAAGCAACAAGTTCTATTAAGCAAAATAAACCTGACTGTTAATCACACTTTTTGGAAATGTTTTGCCATCACCGCACGAGTAACGTTGTCAAACTTACAGGAATGGCGATGTGATCGTTGCTTTAATCTCTAAAATAAGATTCGTCGCGACGTTCGTTTTGTCGGAAAAACCCATAGAGAGTCTCAGAAACCACGTTTTCAGGGACTTGATAATGAAAGTTACTAAAGTTTGTCCAACAAGTAAAATTCCCACGAATTTAATTTGTCTAAGCAATTCGGCATCGTCCACGTCTATGTCGTTTTCTTTTCCTTCGCCTCCTCACACACTCCGTCATTGCATCCTTGATGGTTTGTTCCCCAAGAAGTGTATTGAATTCATTCAGTTTTGTCAGGCGATCAAACGGCTTCTCAGGGTAATGAAAGTTGAACGTACTGTACGCACCCTTTGGATCTTCAAAAACAGGGAAGTCTGCGAATTTTTTCGCTTCAGCAGTCTCGCGAGGAACTCCTGAAAGAAATTGTCAGCTTCATTTCACTCAAAATTGATGTTTAAAACGACAATCTTCGTCGTATTATTGTATTCAAGGATAACTGTATCTGAACTGTACAATGGGAAAAAAAGCAACAAATTAAGGCTACGTTCAGACGGTACCGGTGGAATTTTTAACGGGTCGAAAATTCCTACGCTTAGGTGTTCCGTTCACACGGAACCACGCAAACCGTACGCACATTTGAACGCCACTCCGTTCAGAAATTTGAACGCTAAAATCGAGGTCAAATTTTTTACCTATACGGTCGAAAATTTAAACGGCAAGGTATGAACACCTTGGCCGGCTTAGTTTTTGAACGGTAAAGACGCGGTTGCATGGATGCGTGGTAACTCAGCTGGGAGACGCCATTTTGGATTGCTTAAGTAGCTCTCTGCGCATGGGCAAATGGCAAAACCTCTGACAAAAGTTAAAATTCAACCTGGTTCGACAGTTCCGTGTGAACAGCGAGAAAATATTGAACGGTTCCATGTGAAACGAAGTGTTCGGTCAAATTTTTCAACGGTCGAAAATCGACCGGTACCGTGTGAACGTAGCCTAGAGCCCGGTGCAAACGGACGCAACAATTTTGGCCAACGACTCCCAACAATGTTGGACCGACATTTTTGGGAGTTGTTACGTCCGTTTGCATGTAGCTAAAAGTTTGACCGGTTTCAAACTTTGCGCAACAACTCCCAACAACACGCAACAACATGAACAGGGTGTGCAAACGGCTGCAACGTGCAACATCGAACAATGTTGGGAGTTGTTGGCCAACAATGTTGCGTCCGTTTGCATCCGGCTTAAACGCGATATTACACGGGACGATTCGCAACGACGATTTTTTGCGCAACACAGGGCTCCAATGTTGGTACAATGTTGCAGCCACTCGAAACAATGTTGCAACGCTGTATTACGCTAGAAATCGTCGTTGCGAATTGTCGCATGTAACATCACCTCACGATTAGCAAAACAACAACTTAGCCGTGCAACACGCTTTTTTGCATATTTCGTTTGCCTTTGCTGCACGACTAGAGCGTGAAGAACCTCCAAGTTGAGGTGATGTTACACGGGGACGATTCGCAACGACAATTTTTAGTGCAACATAACATTACAACACTGTTGCGACATTGTTTTCAATGGTTGCAACATTGTTCCAACATTGCAATGATGTGTTGCGCTTGAAATTGTCGTTACGAATCGTGTGGTGTAATGTCACCTTTACGGCGGACGTGACCACGAGACAACAATTTTCTTTTTTCTTTTTCTGAACTTAGGGTCTGTTTACATGGAGGTGTGGGACCCCACGTAAGTGAGGTAACATGTGGCGGTTCACCCCGCCTAACATGTAAACGTGATCACATTAAAATGAGAGATTATATGGACAGGCGGGTTACCTCACCTAAGCAGGTTACCTCACCTACGTGGGGTCCCCCACCTCCATGTAAACAGGCTTTTACCATAGTCTTTAGTATCAACTCCAGAAAAACTCGCCAGTTTTTGACAAATTGAATGAAATGGAATAAGTGTAAAGAAGTTTGAAGTAGTGCGAATTCACTTTTCAAGTGACGTTTTCGATGCTGTTGCCGTCATGGTTAGCTGAGCTCCCTATTTTCCTCTAAACACGTCCCTTCGTGTGAAACAGCATGGTATTTAGCGTAGTGGAGTTGGACTATGTTGCTGACAATGTACCCTCAACAACCGTATTCCTTAACCTATCCTAACTGAACGTGTGCTCTTTTATGTTAACAGAACTTTAAACAAACCTGGACTGCTTTGCTCTTTGAAAGTCTTATTACAGAGCACGAAGTGTACAATGACAGGACAATCCAGATCCTCGGGATCTTCAAACACGTAAAACTCTTTCATGCCGTGCTTCTTGTATTGTTCTTCAGCGTTGATTGGAGGAAACTTGATCTTGTTTTCCCTTGCCCACTTTTCTGCCAGTAAAAGTTCCTAAACGACGCAACGGGTATTAGATCTATATTAGATCCTAGTAAAAAACAAAATAATTTATCCTTAGGGAATATTTACTCTGGCGTTCATGAACTTTAAAGGGACCTGAAAGCTTTCGCTGCAATGTATTTTCTTTCAAAAACAAAATCTACCGACTAAGGAGTGTTCGTGAAATTTTTAACATGGAAAAAACATATTGTTAAGAAAAGCCGGTCTTAGACTGAAAAACAAACCGTGATTTTGCGTCTTCAAGTACGTACGAGCAGATTCAAACAGAAGGTCTGGAGCGAGGCTTGTGAGACGGGCCTGTAAGACTCTTATGCTACTCTTAAGCTTCGCTAAACCGATTGAGAAAAAATCGACTGTTTTGCACTCTAGTCTTAGAAACCCACAATGCATAGAACATGCTGGACCGTTAAGGACTGTTTTTCTGTACAGTATGATTAAATAAGGGCGTTACCTCAAAAGGCATCTCGTCCTCCTTCTTTCTTGCACTGAAGTCAAAAGACAGCAAGAGGTCCACATTTCGCTGAGGCCTAAGTACCATGGGATACGGAGAGTTGAACGAGAGTCCACTATCACAAACGTAGATGCGTTTTGTCGTAAGACTGTGAGTAAACTGCTCAGCTGCGTCAATGAAATCGCTTGGTTCTGCATGAAAAAAGACATAAACTTAGGGGATAATCAAGAGAAAGAAAGATAGGGACCGGGTTGTGATTGCCTAGCTTTATTCAACAGGGGGTTAGATGAAACGTCGTATTTGCTTGAAAAATTACCGTTCTCGAATAAGTTCCTTCTCCAAATAAGTGCCCAGGTTAGGAGCAGAGGTAGACGCAATTGTTATTTCATCATTGATTTTTATTGAATTTAATATTGCTATGGCTAATATGACAGTTAAGAAAAGGTCATAGAATCAAAAACTAGTTTTATTACGTTCTTAGTCTGTTCTTATTGTTTGTAAACAAAATAAAATAGAAGACCCAAAAAGACCTCCACGACGCTTCTTAAGTGAATACGGTCTACGTGGCCGAAAAAAACACCTCGCTGTCAAGGAAGTGGTGTGATTGGTCTTTTAAAAAATTGGCCACTTTTTAAATGAAGGATAAGGCCGGGATTAACCATCTTGGATCCTGAATAATTACTCCAAAAAATAGCCTTGGGTTATGCTGGAAAAACTAAAAAGGTGCTAGTTAGAAATTAGAAAGAAGTGTACTTGCTGGTGAGCTGGTCATAGTTAGTGGACAAACGCAACAGGACGACAGAGAGAAGAGGACGAGAAAACGGCGTTTGTGTGTGAAAAACGTTATAGGGCGGTTCCTTGACTTAGTTGCGAGTTTTGTCGTGATCTTAACTTAACATAACTGCAATCTTCTTTCCTGCGCCGTCCTTTTGCCCATGTTCACTAATAGTTGAGGAGGCGGGCCCATGGCAAGGACTTTAACTAAGGACCGGTATCATTTCCTCTGTCAATATATCCATCGTTCAAAAGAAGAGAGAACTGAAGTAACTGCGTAATGCGTAAACTTGAATCATGCCCTGCCGTTTATATGGAGGAGACTCGTCCCAGGTAATGGGGTCACTCGTCTATATACCCCAGCCCCTGGGCGAGTTAACTATTCTTAGATTTCTTGAACTGTTCTCCATATAAACTCTTTGTCCTCCAGTCGGGCCAACTCGGTCAAGGCGTGACAATCGAGTGTGCGAGCGCTGTTGGCCGGGGGGGTATTCCTGGGAATTTGTGGCCGGGAGCCGCCCGGTTCTCCAAATCCTGACCCTATTTCAGACCAAAAAATTGTCATCTCCCACACCCGTTTTCAGACCTGGCCTCTAAAATCCAGACACATTTTCGGACCTGGCGTAGGCAGAAATTATGTCATTATTTCTTGATTTAGAATGCCAACAAAAATATTTCTAAAAATCCATTTTGAATTCGCATATTACTCTTTCTTTCTTATCTATCTGGAATTGAAACGACAAACACGTTCATGCACTCCCGTCGAAAACCATACCCGAATTCAGACCAAAACAGGCAAAGTCTACACCCCCGTTTCAGACCAAAACGGCGCAAAAACCATACCCTTTAAGGCGGCATATACCTATAAGGAAAATGTAAGGGAGAACCCCTCCCCCCCGGGGGGGGAACTGTTGACTCGGGCAAAGGGGTCAAAGCTCGCAGAAGTTGACTCGGCTGGGAGAGTGACCCTCTTTTCCGGGACAACTTTTCTTCATATACTGTAAACCAGTCGACCTTGTCAGACATAGAGCAACATGAAGTGGCTGAAACGTCGCTATCAAGGTGAATCAACCAATCATTTCAAACCATTATGAATGTCTCGCACGGGTCGTACTCAATATTAGTATTAGGCTGATTTAGCAACAGAACGAGAACGTCAGTTGACAACGGGAAACGCGTGCGGAAAGGACTAAACGCGACTTCCCGTGCCCAATTTGCCGCTCTGCCATTTGGTCAATTGGTCAAACCAGTTGCAGAGCCAGTTGTTTGATTTGCGCACGCCATCGTCAACTGACGTTACGGTTCTGTTGCTATTTAAATCAGCCTGCTACGTACCACTCGAGGGGACTGCTGTCAGCTGCAGGCCACGAAGGAAGTTGTGAACCAGGCCGGCGCGGCCAGAACGTGTCTTGAGAAATGAGTATCTATTCACGATTCCCTTTATTATCTTTTTCTTCAGGCTGGGGTCTTTGGAGTCGTCTGCAATTAGCATTTCCTCTTTTTCTTTGCCATCTGTAGTGTCCTTTTCCTCTTCTTCCTCGTCATCACTGTCCTCCTCCCCCACGGGCTGACTATCGTTGGGCTGAATATTATCTGAATTGTTTAAATCTCCTGTAGAGCAGTAGAGAAAGGATCACTGCAAGTTTTGGTTGTTTGTTTTTTTATGAGTAACGTATGGTTTTTGGTGATAGCTATTGACAGGAACCGGGGGCCTTCATCTCCCATATAAGCCATTGGAATCAACCCTTTCCGGTGAAAAATTATTTACAGAAATAGCTCTCGCGGAATTGCTGCCAACAATGGCTCCTGCTATTGAACACATTTCAGTGTAAACGGTACAGTCCCAACCAACAGCTTTGATGCACATGGCTTATGCGTGGGGAAAATGCGTGGGTGAAACCGCTGGCAACGGCTGCCTGAATATAAAGCTTAATGTTACAGCTGTGCGTATGGATAACGCACAAGCCATACATACTGCGGTGTTGAAAGGTCAGCAGTCAGTTGGTTTATTACAAAAGTAAGAGAACATGAACTTACTTAGCCCTTCCTTTATGTTGGCAAGGTTTCCAACAGACTCCTCAGGTGCGTTCTGTTCCTCGTTAAGGATACGCTGAAAAAGTATGGTGAAAGCACTGCCCCAGATACCTGTGATATATGTAAATGAAAGTTTTCTATTCTCAAGATGGAATATATTAACCACTAACTGCGGTGTTTCATCCGACATCCAGACATAGGGAAATGGGTTAAAAAAAATCCCACAGCCGAATTTTTGAAGACCACCTACTATGCATCTGGATATTCCTTATGAAAATCGATGTTGAGTGCTTGATATGGCCTCTCAGTGGAAGGGGTGGGGGGACAGGGGTTGGGAGACCGGGAGAATAGGGAGAGGGAGGAGTACGGGAGACCGGAGAGGAAAAGCTGGTAGGTGGGAATTCTAGCAGTGTGGGAAGTGGGAGAAAGAGGAGGAAATAACCCAACAATGCTTTTTATAATTAAAAAGGACTAAGGGCAGAATTCGAAGAAAAAAGGGCGGAGCCAGAAATTCAAGGTATGTGAGGCGGAAGGTTCGGACTTCTCCGCCATCTCCCCCCCCCCCCCGCTCCAATTTCTCAAATGAAATACAGAATGTTCTTAGAGGTAAAAGTCTGGTCCTGGTGCATTTCAGTGGAATTTGCATAGCATTTTTACCATCATTTATGCCCACCGAGATTCTGATGATGCTTTCTCTACAGGTTGTCAAAACTTCCAAACTCGTTTCCAATTATACTTTAAAAACAATGAGGGTAGCTGGGAATGCTCAGAGGGATGGTCAAGCAGGATTGGTAGGGCCGCTCCCGGATTTTGGTCCTGACTTCACCTAATCAATGCCGCAATGTGGCTCGTTGTCATTTACAACGAGAGAAGAACAAAAAAATTCTGAACCCCGAATCCTGGCCTTCAATGAGGACAATGCCCGGTTCCCAGAAACCTACCAGGGACCTTCATCAACAACAGCCCTAGTGATAACCTGCGACCTGGTCCTCCGAAAAAAATATATGCCTGATTGCAGGTTACCCTATTCAGAACTACCCTCACCTGGACTATCATATTCAACATACCCTTGACAGTTCAGTTACAATGAACCATTGTTTTACCTTGCATATAGTGAAGTGGAGGCTCAGGAAATGATGTCAGTTTCTTTCCACAGAAAAACTTGCTTCCAAATTCCTCCGTCTTCATAAATGTGCCATATTTTGCCATTCCTATTTCATACGGGCTAAACTCCACCCATTCTAAGGATGAACGGTACCAAATGATTACTGATGTTTCTCAGTGTGGTTATGTTCTCGGTTCAATAGTGTCCTTGGTTTAAATTTCATTTTTGTTTGATTTAGCCTTATTATTATAGTCTGCTGTACACAAAACCAAAGGAATTAAACCAAGAATAAAAGTGAACCACAACAGTTATGTTTGATTATAGTGTCCATTTATGTTATTGAAGTGCTCTTACGTTTAGCAATCTGAATGTTTGTGAAGGAATTGAAAGAAGTCAATCTGTTTCCTTTAAGTGAGGCGGCCGGTATTCAGTGCTCTCGCCACCTGCAGCAGAAATCTATTATCTATAAAACCACATCTCATCTCTGCTGAGAGGAGAGTGATCTACAACATCCAATTAGTCCATCAAAGTATTCGATTCTATGCATGAAAATATGGCTCACAATAATTATCTTACCGCAGAAACCTTGTGCAGACACATCCTTTTTGACGTGCACGCAAGTGTAAAGTGGAAGAGGGACCAGCGCATCTTCAACTTTTTGGCGTTGCTCACTGAGCTTTGGTACATCTTTCCGCTTTAAAAAGGACAAATATGATGGTTTTATCATTACCGTTATCATTGTCAGTGTCGTTATTGCTAGACTTAACGAGTCATTTCAGGGAAACGCGCATCAAAAATGGTTAACGTCACGTTGCCATCAGCGTGCAATTTCCCAAGTTGGACCCACAAGAGCCAGAATCGATGGGTCTCAGGCGCTATTCGCAAAGAGGGCCCCAAATTGGGTTTTTCGGGACCCGGGATTTCCCTTATTTGAAACTCGGGATTCGGGATTTCCCTAGTATGAAGTCCGGGATTCGGGATTTAAAAGCAAAATCTGGGCGAGTTTAGGATTTTGAAAGTATGCTTGGGAGGTAGGATGCCAAAAATAACCCTCGGGATTACGGGATTGTACGAAATTTGGGGTCGGGATTACGGGATTGAAGTACCCTGTTATGGATCGGACCTGAGGAGTGCTGAGGTCACTAGGGTGGAGAGAGAGAGAAAATTACCGCAACTAAAAAGGAATTTTCAATATTTTTACCAAAATTGGATTTACAAATGCCCAACTGTGCCTTTTGGCATGTATGGAAGCCAGATTAGGCTCGTTTGATCTTGGCATGGATATTTTGGCAACTTAAACTTTCCTGAAATGCTACCCAACACAAGCAACCAAAATACATACGGAACAAAACTAACCTCCTTCAAAACAGTGTCTCCGATCAGGTAACCAAAGAAATCAGTAAAACTGACAGGCTGACCACGTGCCTTCTTATCCCGGATGACCTGCAGACGTTTGTGCATCCAGGAAGGCGTAAATAAGAGTTTAACCCAATTGTCTTTCACGTTTTTCTTCAAAACATCCCTGACTTCCCTGGGATGAGCATTGGGCCAGTCAGCATGAGAGTAAAGCGTCGAGAGATACCTGCAAAAAACATTTTCAGTTTTGTGGACGGGAATTCTCAAAGTTTACTTATATCGCACCTCGGAGACCGACAGGTGGCGCGATATTAACGTACGTACTAGCAAAACCTAATAAAATTCATACGAATAAAGGAAAATCCTTAAGACGCTTTACCGTTAACGAACCAATTCCAAGAACATTCGAAATTCCGGCAAGGGAGGGTATTATCCAGGGGCGCTGCTAGAAATTTTCCAGGGGAACGAATAGTTCTCCAAATCCACCCTACCCTGCCTATAATTGTTAACCACGGCAAATGTGTTGAATCTTTTTGTTAATCTTTGTATACATACATAAATACATGCATAACCTTTGCTTAAACGCCAATTTTAGAGTAGCCTCAGTACATAGCTAATATGTTGGAAGGAAGAAAAAATAAGATCTCTAAAACTGGTAACTAGAAAAACAAAACAAAACAAAAATTAGTGTAACTAATCAAACATATTTGAACACGTCGCTTAAAATCAGGAAAAGTGCTAGTACTGTTCCTTAATTCGGCGGGAAGAGTATTCCATTGCTTGGCGGAATTAGTATACGATGTGGAAATGAAATGAGGCAGGCTCTATACGGTACAACCCGGAATAAAAAACATGTCTCTAGAAACTAGGCCAGTAACTTGAGAGAGACAGATATTTACCATGCAGAACCAGACAGCCCAGAAACGTAAGTTACACAATCCAGGACACCCATGTCTTTCAGGGCACAAAACACACCGCTGAGAGACACCATGGCACGAAAACCACCACCTGATCCTAGAACAGCGATTGTAGGCATCTGCAAATAATCATCATCATTTATCCTGTGGTTGTTAATCTTGTCTTTCTGACGGGGTATTAATCCTGGGTCAAGCGTGTGCTCGGAGAATATGGTTGACAATATCTTTCGCCAGGTTACTTAATTAGAACAGAATGACAGTTTCTTAAATGGAAAACTTGTGGTCTTCTAATGGTGAAACAAATAACTCCGATCACGTGATTATTGCATGTCCCGTGATCGAAACTTCCAACTGAAGGAATTTAACAAATAGACCTCTTGAGCTTGCACTTTTACTTTTCCCAAGATTGGTTATGTGATGTTACTCTACAGAAAGTTTCTTTCAAATTTCGTGTTATTGCATATGTACGCACAGGTACGCGTAATTTATGAAACGATAAAGGGCGAATTTGCTTGAGACCTACATTGAGAAAACAAATCATAGAAGCTAAAGAGGTTTTAAGATTGCAGAGTAGAGAGGAAAAAACCGTGTGTGTAGTAAAAGAAATCAGGCCGGAAAAAGAAGAGACATGCTAGACTGCAGTGACCCTAAAATCAGCAATCTTAGCTAGACTCACACACGCGAACTTTATTCATACCTGTTTCAGTTTTTTAGGTCCGTTTTTCCCCAGAAGTTTTTTCATGGCCTCAAAAACAACTTGTTTTCTCTTGTCAAGAAAACTGTTCTCATCTTCGCATAGATCTGCACTGTGTCGCATTTCAGAAGGCGCAGAACTGACCAAGAACGAAAAAAATAAGTTAACAAATAATTAAAGTGATCCTCAACATGGCTAGGACCTTAAGTATGGGTTATAATTTACGACATTAAAAGATTTCTTTACGGAAAACAAACAAACAAAATAAAAACTAAAATACATTAGGAATTGCACGACCCTCGCCCTTGTGACCTTAAGGACAAGTTTTCTAGGCTTTTATGTTCAAGTTCAGAGTTAGTTATGATAAGCTTCCAGAGCCGTAGCCAGAAATCTTCCAGAGGTACGAAACGTTTTCCGAATCGACCGTTACCCGTCTCCAAAATTCTTTTCATGCGGTAGAAGAGCCTTTCTTGGGACTAGTCGACCTCACGAGAGTAGTATAGGGGGCACCGGTTTGGCCTTTTTTTGTGAGGAAATCTCATTATTTTGCGGAGGAATATATTGACACCGATGATGTCATAGCCTTTTCTCCTAGTTAATCCCACTAGAGAAAATTTATTTTTCAGATGACTCAGTTCGTAAGGCCAGGGAGTCGCATTTGATAGATAAGGCCATGACTCTTGAACCTCATGGCCTAAACCGCCCTGAAGAATTATTGTAATCCATATTTTTAGTATTTTTCCTTTCCAGTTTTTATGTTGTACGTCATTTCCGCCTCTCCCATTTATTGCGACATTCTCCATTTATATAATATTGTGATTGCTACATGAGTTCAGTAACATTTGTGAACCTGAAGAAGGCTGGTATGGCCAGCCGAAATATTATTATAAAAAACAATATACGTTGTTTTAAATCAGCTTTGCAGTAGTCTTTGGACTTCTTGTTCTTGGTTCTTTTCTCCTAGCCTCCTGAATTCAAAGGGGGAGGGGGAGGGCGGGGTTTGGGGAATCTCATTAACATAAGGAGATGTGCTATCTTTAGGTGATTTAACCACTTTGAAATCGTTTTCCCTCCACCGCCAACACCACCACCACCACCACCACCGTTTTGTTGTTTTCCCATCACCACCACCGCCACATTTCCATTGTTATACTTTCACCACTGCCACCATATCCACTACATTTCTATTTTTTCCTTCGCCCCCACAACCACCACCACCACATTTCTTCTGTTTTCTTTCCCACAACTACAACCGCCACGTTTCTGTCGTTTTCCCTCCACCAACACCATTTTCATTTCAAGCGGCAGGAAATAAAACTTGTATAATTAAGCCTACAGCTCAGTGATTTTGAGTTACAGGCGAGTAAACGCTTATTCCTTCGAAAACATGAATCAGCTAATGAACAATGAGAGAACTCCAAGACAGCATTCAAAGACCATCAAGATGTCAAACCGGTTTAACCACCTAAAAATAGCACATGAGCTTATCTTAATGAGATTCCCTAAACAAAAAGCTTTGACGTCATCATCGTTAGTGTTTTTCTTTGGAAAATGATACGATTCCCCTGCAAAAATTGTCTAACCGCAGCTCATACTACTCACGAGTTTCACAGCAGAAATTTGTAAAAGCAAGCGGACGAGCATTTTAATCTACGAAGCTGGTGAGCAAGCGACCAAATTGCCAGCGGGCAAAATTAGATAGGACGAAGGACTTGTTTAAAAGACTAGTAAAGAGACTGTATTTACGTTGTTTTTTGTTTAATGAGAGAATTATCTCTCTTGGTCTTTAGATCGTGTTTCTAAGGCACCGGTTGGGTTTTCGCGTGTGAGAAAATAGGGGAAAACACCGCGTTTTGCTGGGGGTTTTAGAAAAATATATTTGAAAGAAGTTAAAGGACAGTCACGTTAGTACATGAACTGTTTTCAGCTATTCCCAGTTTACCTCCTGTTCTTTTGCGCTGTTTTCCCATTTTCTTTTATTTCTCTTCGACACTTTTTCAGGTACGCACATGCGTACTGGCAGGGCAGAGGTAATCTCATACAGTTTCCCCCTGTCGCTTTTGGCTAGAAGCGTTTTTGGCCCCTATGTGCCTACTGTCACTAAGATATCGACGGATCTAAGAGAAAAGGCGGACTGCAAGAAGTCTATTCCCAACTCGGCAGGCCAAAATGGTCCGAGTGTCAATTTCAAAGATAATCTTTTTCCTGCTCCAATTCTTAGTTAATAGGGTCATTTATACGAGGAAAAATAAGAAGCGTCTTACATAAGACGCGTCTTAAATAAGACGCGGACTGGACCATTTATACGAGCATGTCTTATCTAATAAGACGCGTCTTAGCTAAGCCGCGTCTTATTTTAGACGAAATGTGCCGTTTATAAGGAAAGTTCGCGTCTTATTTAAGACGCGTCCTATTTTTCCTCGTATAAATGGCCCTAATGTTACTTTTTCCTAGACTAAACATTTGAAAGACCAATCATGACATAATCTTACTATGGTTCAAGTTTCATCTCCATGTCCACCTCTGAGCCCTGCAATACAAAAACGTAACGTTTTTAGTAAGTCTTGAAAACATTTGCCCCTTCACTCCTGCCTGGGTCCCTGCATAAACCAACCCTGGTAACTTTACCGATCACCTCACTGCGTCTCTTTAATCCACAGCAGAGTCTTGATTTGAAAAAATTGCCTTCTGCTCTCGCCAATGCATGCACCAAGTTCAACAAAGATAGCTTTACCAATAATCTGTCTTCCGCACCCAGTTACTGATAACCTCACAAATTATCTTAGTAACAAAAAAATGAAATAAAGTAAGAGTTCAAAATTAACTGTTGAAAACGGGATAAAAGGAGATGTCCTTTTATTCTCGGGGGAAGTGGAAAATAATGGAGCTGGAATTAAAGGAATTAACAAAACACTTACCACCTAAGTCTCTTTCAATTTACCCTATTTTTACTATTTTATTCCTCTCTGTCCTGACAAATTTAAATCAAAATCTCTGAGAAATAAAAATGTAGAAGGAGGTAATCTTATCAGGTCAGCTTTTTTCCAGTTCAGTTGATACCTCCTAGCTAGGAAGGTGTGCAAAACGGTTCTCAGTCCATTTTGACTCTGTTGGGTTCTAATGTTTAACTTTTAACTTTTAATTTCCTTTACAAAAAAATGGATTAGGCCTCCATGCCAAATCCAAATACTTGAGTTTTAGTTGACAGTTAAATGAAGCGGCGTGGTATTATGGTAGGGGAACCTCTTTCACGGAAGTTGTCGATATTTTTCACTGTAGGAAGCCTTGAGACATCAACGCCACGTTTTAACGAATCCAGCATGTTGGTCCAAAACTGATAGTTGCGACACAATTGAACCATTCGATCTTTGTTAGCAGTTTTGGATGTTGTTGGGTTGAGTAACCCGAGATCAAGTCCACTTTTAGCAGCTTTCATACATCCTCTCTTACTTGATTTCCTTTAACCTTGCTTGCCGGAATGTTTTCTCAACCAAAACGAAAATTCTGTCTGATCTCAGGTTAGTAATGGGTTAGTGGCAACCTTTTTGGTCCTGTTCATATGGCCACCATCCAACAAGGTTGGGTGGCGTTGGGCCAACATGTCGAAACCATTGGATATTTCAAGTGACTTTGGACCAACATGTCGAAGCCATTGGATATTTGACGTTGGCCCAACATACGCATGTCGAAACCATTTGTTAATTGCCGTGGCCCAACATGTCGAAACCATTGAATAACCTAACTGGCTCTATGTTGTTGGATCAAGTTTTGACGGGTTTGAGTGAGCGAGAATCTTTTTGGTTGTTTAAATTCCCCTGCCGTAGATCAAACTCCATTCAGCAATGTTGAATGATGTGCAACCAATTTCATGGAACTTTTTCATCACTTGGTGGGTGGTTCAGTGAGATAATTTTAGATCGCAATGGGGCTTCAGTTGGTTCTTTTAAAAGGGCTCCATCCAGAAATGTTGGATGTGGTTAGATCAAAATGTTGAATGAGTGGAAAAATGGATAAGCAAATAGAACCCTATCAACATCTGCTTCTATATCAATAAACAGAACGTGTTTTTTTCACCTACCTTTCCGAATGTGAAAGTTTTTTTAATTGTATCGTTTTCAGTGAGCTCACTCAGGTCGAACGTCTGGGTGTCCACAACATCGTCGATGACCACGTCTTGATCCATTAAAGTAATCTCTATCAGATTCAGAAAGAGCAGTAAAAGTAAGAGTGAAGATCAGAGAAAAAAACTTGGTGGCTTAGGAAACTCAAATCAAAATTTGTCGTTGTCAACAGTATTGTCAGTAGATAGTAGCACCATATTAATTATCCTTTGTTTTGAGGTGGAATCTCATTAATGTGAAATGGAATATATAACGCCGATGACTAAAGGGTGGCTTATCCCTTTAAACAGGTTTTTCTAGTTTTTTCTGAGTTGATGAAGAGGACTAAGAAGAGTATTTAATTGTTGATTTATGTTGTCGAAGGAATAAGTGCTAACTCAACTGTGGCTTAAAATCACTGAGACGTAACGTTATTTTACAAGCTCTCCGGGGCGCTCTGGCGGCAGGGCGGGAAAAAGAAGGAGAGCTTGCAACTACCTCTCTGGAATTTGAATTCCACCTCCAACTCCCCTGTGGCTCCCCGTCGACTGAGCTGTCAGATTTCCGCCAATCAGCGGAAAGGGGAAACGAGTGCAAATGTAAACAAACATTGAATAACACGTGCGAAGGGTAATGACGTCATTACTAAAGTCATCTCCGCCAATCAGCACTTCGCATCGACTATTTTTCAATGCAGATATTCAAATTCCAGAGACGTAGTTACAAGCTCACTTTCAGGCTTTTCCCGCCCCGCGGCCAGATTGCCCTGGAGACCTTGCTCGCAGGCTAACAAGTTCTAATTTCTGCCGCGTTTTTAATTGCCCAACAAGTTGTTCCAGTCCCAGCTGATTCACTGATTCACTAAGGACGAAAGCAAACTATTGTAGCTCTATCTACCACGAAAAACAATTTTACACTTCCCGTCCTCCTTGTTTTGCTTCCCACGCATTTTACGCAAGACAAAAACGCTGTAATGTCATCGGCGTTAATTTATTACACTTCACGCTAATGGATTCCTTAAAAAAATGGATAATTTGGTCCCTTCCGTACCATACAGACGTAATCTCATGTCAAGGACAAAACTTCTTGATAACAGCCATTGGTTTGAGAATGAATTAACGTGTCGAGAAAATTTTTTTTTGAGGGAAAGGACTCCCCTCTTATCTAAGGATTTGAAGAAGCCCCCACTTACTCACTTGAGGGTCTCACCGACATTCAAAACCGAATTTAACCATTTTTAAAAACCCTGGCTCTGTTATATTTTAAGACATTTCAAGAGCGCAGCGTGTTCACTAGCGCCGTCCTACGTAAGTTGAACTCTATGCACATGCCACAAACACCTGACCTGCGATTTTTTCTTATATAGTTTTCAAGTTGGTGCGTTTTTGACCCTTCGCACCAATATAAAACGATATGTATGCGTTTCCGTTTTGATCCACTTTCAACAGCATTTTCAAATCAACGCGTTTTCAATGAAAACGCTCAGCGTAGTATGGACGAAAGGCCTAAACGCATCGAAATGTATGCGTTTTCAAACGAATTAACGCCTAAGTGTTCACAGGGCCTTGTTAGAATATACAGAAATTCAGCACTCGTGTCTGATATATGCTTAGATCAGAAAGGAAAGCAACTTACCTAGAGTATGTTTTACAGTAGGATCAAGTATAAACTGAAACACTTCATCCCACGTTGGGTTAACATCGTTTTTCTTCGCCTTTGTTTTTCTGAAACCATTAGGTGCAGTTCTGATCCGCAGCTTGACATATGGATCTGGTGTGTCAACTGAAAGCAAGGTGGATGTAAGTTCAGTGAAGATCAAGAAATAGAAAGCCTGGGAGTCATGTTAGAATTTTAATAATTTAAACTTGGGCTCTAAACAAGGGTAAGGTAAGAGAGCTTTCTCTCTCTTTTTTATTTGAAACGTCGTGGTCAAATGAGGGGCCTGAGAAGAGCTAGGCTCTTAAAAAAACAAATCCTCTAGACAGACCAAGAACATAAACAAAGCCGTATACTTACTCCTATCACGCCATTTGCCAACCTTGATTTTTCGGCCACAAAGTACTTTTATTTCCAGTGAGAGTAGTTCACGGTTTGAAGCCTGCAGAATATGACGACAAAATCTATATAAAAATTTCGCCCCTCAATAAAAACTAAAGATGATGTTACAGGAGGTTTAAATTGGAATCTAGAAGAAGCACTTTGATTTCCATCAAAGAAAAGCACGAAAAACCAGTTTTAACATCAGATTTGGTCGAGGCAAATATGATGCAACAAAATCGGTACAAACTAGGAGGCAATCAGGGGCAAAGACGGTAAAAGCCGTATTAACTCGTGTAAATCAGGCAGCAAATACCGTATTTCTTATCTTTTCAAGTAGTACTAGCTGACGAGTCAAGACAATAGTCACACTCTAAGGCTGTGTTAAATCATACCATACCGGACAGTTTCTTGTTGCGCCACGAAAAACTTTCCGCCTTATCATAGCAAATCAACGCTTATGAAATTAAGGCGGAGTTCAAAAATTCGCGCGCGTTAATTTAAGTCACTTTAATTTCTTAAAACTTGAATTTCAGCGCCGTTAATTAAGTGGAGCGTTAATTTCCGAGACCTTAATTTCCATAATTCTGCATACACCTTTGACATTCAATTGGCCGAGCGGGTATGGTACACTAAATCCCAGTCCTCACTCCTGAATATTTACTTCCGTGTCAGTGGGATCCAGTCCTTGCTCCTACTTATTTACTTCGGTGAAGGCCTGAAGGGCCGAATAGTTGCCTCTCTTGGTGTAGATATGCACCAAAGCATGGCAGAAACCCTATCCCATATATGAGGCTCCACTTCACAGAAATTGCTACGCCAAAACCCCTCTTGCGTGAACAGCAGAACTATTCGGTATTAGTAAAATCCAACTAGTGGTCTATTATCAATGCTGCGTTCTGATTGGTTGAGCTACTACTAGGCTTTATGTTATAGCCCACTAGTAGCGAAAAGCGGGGGCTTTTTGGCGGAAAAAAAGGATTAAGCTTCTTCGAAACTTAAACTTCCAATGACTTCCACGATGGTAAAATTGACGACTTGTGTGTAGCAGTATTCAACGTCTACTGAAATCTTTGAAAACCCTTGCAACCGGGGAAATTTGCGGGAAACACATAAACTGCAGTAAAATTAAACAACATCTTGACCCAGTGAGAGGCAGAGAGCTCCGCCGCAAGTCCTCTCCCCAGTCTCCTCTCGTTTTATTTGTGTGTCCGCGCTATCGGACCCGACTATCTCGGAGCCTGGAACTGACTATGCGGGTGTTCAATTTTGTGGATGGGCAGTTTTTTTTTTTCATATTTTACTGTAACTATTTTTTGCGACTGCTCCAGTTTGAGTTTTCTCACTGGGACTCTGATTGATTTTGTAAGCAACTGCGTACAAGATTCTTTCGTTTATGAGAGTCAAGATACAGGCGAATGGAAAATGTAGTAGATTATAGGGTCCTTTCAATCCATTACTATTATGTATATCTTTCTCTGTGGTCGATTGTTCCAGTCAAGGGGCTGATGTAATTCATGCCAATAAGCAACCCAATTTACATTTCTCATTAATGGCGATGTTTGTGGATTCGTGACCGTGAAGTAGCGTTGACTGTAGGGTTAAATTTGCGAGTAAAATTTTTGCACTATAGTTCATTCCTTGGCGGATCGTCGAATACAAAAAAAAAGCAAAACAAAAAAGTTGGGACCCGAAAACTGAACCAGGCTGTGGACTATGCGGGCTAACAATGCTTTGTTCGCAATGCCCTCCGGGGACGGTGTCACTTTAAGATATTGTGAGAGCAATACATTTCTGGGAGGCTACGACAGCAATCTGTGACACATTGTTGGACATTGTAACTATCAAAAAACAAGGATAAACACGATACTCATAGTATACCATTACCACTGAACTTAGAGACCCGAGATCACTGAGAGATCGGCACGTCTGGACGAAGGCGAAGTATATAATTGTTTTGAGACGCTCGAGCGCTTTTAATAGTGGAATTCAGAGGGATATATTTATCTGCTCTCGATGGAAAAATAAACATTCATTAGCCGTGATGCTCACTAGTTTCTGTTCTTCTGTAAACCCAAACTATTATTGAGGAAATCGATTTAGCTCGGTTATATTATCAACGTTTTTAAGAAGGTTCAAAATTAATGGTTATTAATAAATGGGAGACTTAAGTAATTTTAGTTGTAAAAAGCTGAAGTTAAAGTAGTATTATTAATTGGGAGCCTTTTTGACATGCCAATGCAAGCCAAGTCTCATCGCTTCCAGCCTTTGAGCGTTTGTAAACGACTGGAGCCGCAAGCATTATCAATGGAGTTGGAAGCAGTAAAAGGACGAAGACCCTGGATTTAAAGCTTCACGTCCACACAATTCGAACGGGCAGAAGTCACGATGAACAAAAATTTAACAGAATTTGCTTCGGAGCGGTGGCATTAACGATATTTTGTTTCGCGCCTGGTTGACTTAAAGGCGATCTGACCTGATTTATAATCGTAACAGTGTGCGGTAGTTCTTGCAGCCTTTCGAAAATACTGCACGTACAGGGAAGCCAAGGATGTGATTTTAAAAGACATTTCTAGTGAGCAGGAAGATAGAAGCTAAGAACTGATCACGTCACTTACAAATATGCAAAATGGAAACGTTTTCAGGAACCTAACCGAGTATAACGGCCGATATTTCCTTAGAAATTGTAGTCCCCTCTTGAAACAGCAGTCATGCAAAAGGGGTAGATATTTGTTCTCAAGGTACAGTAAGTAATCAATTCTTTGTTGATACACTTGTTTATAAAACATCAGGTAAGTTTATACGCGTGCCCAGGTTGATTTAATTAAGTCGAAGAGCTTTTTTCTTAGGACACAACATACCTGATATAAAGTTCCCATAACGATGGCAAGTTACGAGCAAGTTGTCCCTTGTACGTGGATTCCAGCGCTGCAAGAGCCAAGGTTCTCCGTATTAATTCACCCTTTAAAGTTCAGACGTCCTTTGTGTGATGTATGAGTAGATGTATTTGCATTAAAAATACCTCTGAATTGACCACTCCAGAAATACCATAACATACCATAATGTTCTTTGTTTGTCACCCCAAAATTTTGCATAAGCATTGTTTTCAGTTTCTCTTGGGGCCATTTTAACTCCCAAGAGAAACTGAAGACAATGCTTATGCAAAACTTTGGGGCGACAATCAAAAAGCATTATGGTATGTTATGGTATTTTCTGGAGTGGCCAATAGGCATGTATGATGACAATGAAAGAGAGATGGTTTAAATATTTTAACCGTGACCAAGAGGGCAACCTCTACGCTTTCCGACTTCCGAGTTTTGTTTTCAGACTTCCGTTTCCTCACACACTTCAGACTTTTAGCTAGAATCTTCTCATCTGTGAGCAGCTAAATGCGTCGTGCCCTACGCGCGGAAACTACATTTTGGGGCTCATTCGGATGTCGGAAGTCAGAATTTGAATCGGTTTTTAAATAGTGTTTCATCCGTTTCTGCTTCCAGTTTTGCTAATACCTCCTACGATACAAAAGCCGATTTCAATCTATTTATAACAATTTATTGATTGATTGCTTAATTGATAACGTGTTCATTATGCTAATATATGAGCGGCCAACCGTTTTTCTTGACGGGGCCTCGTGGGTGGCATCTTCATGGGGGTTCAACTGTATAAAATGAGTTTTCAGGTTGTAAAGGGGCGAAGATCAGCATACTTTATAGAATTTCCTCTGTTTGTTGATCTTACGCAAAGAAAAGTGATTCCACTAAATACTATTGGCTGTAAGCTCGTATATGACAATAAGCCTTTCTTTCGTTCTGACTGTAACTGAATGAGTGAAGATCAGCAATAAAACGACAAGTTCCTGAACAAAGTAAGGATCCACTTGATTTAAAGATCCCGGTTAGTAGCAGGCACCTCTCGCTCAACCATCGAGCTTTTAATTCCCCAATAAAATTCCCTGTTACATCACCATATATATTAGCCAGGGGCGTAGCCAGCCTATAAACCTGTAGACCCGGGCCTACCAATTTTTGGTTTGATCACTCTACCTCTTGTTATAAATTATGCCTTTTGGGGGAGAGCTAACAAGCATAAGAGATCAAATTGTTGGTAATGACCGTGCTAGCTAAGCCCCGGTTAGCTCCAATGATCCAAACCTGGCGGGGAAAGAGGGGTTTCACGGCGTGCGAGTGTCACGTTTTTGTCGCTTGTACTTGTGCCCTCCCGGTTTAGACTGTATTCACACTGACAACCAAGACAAAAGATGCGGAGCGAAAACTAAGAGAAGAACAGACAGGAAAGCGTCACAAAGTCCCATAAAACGCACTTTCGATGCTTTTAGATGCCGGTTATGGCTCTACTGCATTTTCATGTCCATACTTAAACTGTTTACAGGAGCCATTACGACACCAGAAGGACGATCATGAGGTTATCGCTATAATATATAGGTTTAACCAGGGCTAAAGCTCTCGATGATATTCAGTTATAGTTTGCTCAAACAAAATATATAATGTTGCTATGCTAAGAGACGAAGGAAACGAGACAGTGAAAAACAACAATAGGTGGTTTTCATGCAGTCTCGGGAGACACAAAGAACAATGGTGAAAAGTACAAATGCTGGTGGACAAACAAAACGAGCTGATGAGCGATCTTTTGTTTACCGTCCACCAGCATGGCGGCGATGACGTAACGTGTAAACCACCAAAAGGTCTAATAAGCCAGAAAGCAACTTTGCACGTGCAGCACACTTCTTTTGTACATTCTGTACATTTCTTTGCCGTTGTTTTGCACGACTACAACGTAAAGGTGATGTTACACAAAACGATTCACAACGACGATTTTTGGCGCAACACAGCGTCGCAACATTGTTTCGAATGGTTACAACATTGTTCCAGCATTGCAACGCTGTGTTGCGCTAAAAATCGTTGTTGCGAGTCGTCCCGTGTAACATCGCCTTAAAACTTCCAGAAACTTCCTGGTTACACGTTTTATGGAGAAAATGTCGTGCGTGTTCTTGTTCATTTTTTTTTCACTGCCGCTCATTTTCAGCTTGGTGGCCGCTAGCATTTCTTATTCTCCCACCGCTGCTACAAAATTTTCATGTTGTTCTTCCAACAAAAAAAATCTCTCCTTTGTCTTTTATCTCTCGCTCTTTTTCTCGTTGAGCTTCGTTGGCCTGTCGCCTACTTTCTCTTTTTCTCTGTATTCCAAATCTGTGGACATGACAATAAATCTAAGCTTAATACTTTAGACAACACGGTTACAGAAACAATTTCCGCTTTCCGTTTTCGTCTTTATTGACTCTTTAGTTATCTCTGCTTCACAAGACGCGTGGCTAAGCGACCACCCAGCCCAGGAAAGGTTTGCCACGCCACCGGTGGTGGCGAACAGTGGTGTGGGTTCTTTGACGTAAAAAGAACCAGATAAGTGAATGTACTGTGAGACGGGACTAATGGTTTTTCGTCCTTATCCGAAAAGAATAGAAAGTCTAACCATTTGCCGTTGCCATTACAAAGGCAGCACCGTCTCCTCGGTTATTTAAAGACCCTGAGTGTTGGTCCGGCTGGGGTGTGAATCCGCGACCTTCCGCTCTGCAGACCTGCGATCACAACTGAGCTACCGGTAAGTCAGGCGCCGGTAAAGAAGGCAAAGATTAAGAACAAGTCGAGAAAAAAATTGTTATTTCTACCATTTTTAATACGGCTTAACAAAGAATTATTTCACAGTCACGATTCGTAACTTGTTGAAACATCAACACGTAAATAACCTGTCAAGGATTCTTAGGAGAAATCCGACCTTTGACTATTCCACACAAAGCGACAGAACTAAACCGCACCAGATTTATAACAATTATGTGGCACCAAACTCTTTCATCCAGTCTTCGTATTTCTTAATGTCCGCATCAGAAACAGACTTGGAAACTTTCTTCAGTGCGAGATCGAAGTCTTCCATGTTAACAGGCAAATCAAGTTCCTCTTTTGGCAAGTTCTTGATCTGTTCTGGCGTCAAGCCCCTGATTCGACGCCTCATTGCCATCATAGAGGCGTCCCTACACCGGAAAGGATAAAGAATACAGTAATTAAGCTGTTTATAATTTTTCGAGGGGATAGAAATTTCGCTCTTTCACCATCATCATCTTCTTAGGTTTGTCAAACCTGGATTAAATGGTCAACCTGTATTATGCGGTCAGTAAGCCACTGCCCAAGGGTAACTGCTTAATACAGGTTTGACTACATCACCAAAAATGTGGGGTTGAGCTCAAAGTCCCCTTAAATTTGCGCATTTTGAAAATCAACATGGAAAATGGCGCAATAAGAGAGACACAAAAACTCTTGCGCGACATGGAATTCAGGGTTCATTGCTCAAATTGTTTCTTCAACACGAACCTGCAAACATTGGTGATATCCGCACCACTGTAGCCTTCCATCTTTTTCGCGATCTCCTCGAGAACCACATCCTCAGCCATGTTCACACCACGCAAGTTGATCTTTAGTAACTCCAGACGACCTACAGCTACGAAAAAAGAAACAGAAAAAACTGTTTGTAGTAATTTCGCGAGTGAAAAGTGTATGCAATGCATTAAAATGTAATGTTCGTGAGGAGGGTATGCCAGTGAAAAGATGAACATGTATTCCTGGGAATAGTTGCATGGCAAAGATTGGAGCATGTCTTCAAAGAAAAGAAAGTTATCTGTAACCTTGAGGTAATTTTCTGAAAAAATATTCTGAGAATTATCTCATGAGGAGTTAAGTACTTTTTTGCATAAATAAATCTTAGCTTTCTAACTTCCTGGAAAGAAAAAGAGGGGGAGGCCAAGACAGAAAGGGAGGAGTCCGTCTTCACGGAGAAAGTAACGATTATGGCAGAAAAAGAGAGGGGAAAAATACACACTCAACCGAGTTGTCTTCTACCGAACTTGAAGTTAGTTCCCGCCTTCATGCTTATGTCAAAAAGGACCAGGACTTTATTGTCTCCTATTTTGCCGTAAGAGATCAATCGCTTACAGTAACAGGCGGCCATCTTGGTTTCAGATGTAGTTGTCATTTTGAGGAAGACTATCTACCTAAGGAGTGGTGGAGTAGAACCGAGACGAACCCTTGTTACAGCGAGCACTTGATCACGGCGATCTTACGGAGAATAAGGACTTGTACAAGGTTTAAAAAGGAGAAGGAAAATAAAAAAAGAAATTTAATGCAGGCGAAGGAGCTGAGCTCTTTACGCAGGCTGCATCGTACTTTCCGGAAGAGGAATGTAGACTCTCTTTTCCAGTCTTCTGCGCAGGGCTTCATCCAGATCCCAAGGAAAGTTTGTGGCAGCTAAAACCATAACAAGTTGTGGTCCACCCTCCACTGTACCACCAACACCTAAACAACACAAACACACCGAAAACATGCAGTTAATATTGTTCAACGTTGGTAGCATGCGAGCAAACTCCATTCAGGGGAGTCGTAAGAAGTCGCGCGAGAGCCACACGCGATAGCGACGCACGCGCGCGCGTTCTTTCGCAGCTCCCTTCGCCCGCCACAATTGGAGAGCTTGCTATCAGGCTATATAGTTTTCTGATGTTTATTTCACCTCTTGAAATGCACAGTATACACATGTCCAACACCCAACCTTAAACAACGTAAACTAACAGTGAGAGCTTGTTGTCGAGGGCAACCCTCATTTGAACTGAGGGTTGGTTTAAACAGTAATGTCAATAAAGTGCAATGGCTAAGAAGCCCCTTCTGAAGTCTTTGTTATATGTTTTTGTTAGTTTTTTTAAACTTCACCGTGGAAAACGCTTAATAGCATTCCTATTATTTTGAACTGTAAACTAACCTACAGAAACGCTATTATTAGTTCGATTATTCAGGACCACAATCTGTAAACAAAACTGAAAATGATTGTGCGCGGTCAGGAAACTCCTAACAACAACTACAGCGTTGTCGTTTTCAAAACGTTTAACGTTAGTGTTTGTTTAACGAGCACGCAGCTTATTCCCAGCTGAAGAAAGATTGCTGAAAAGTTCTTTTCTGTAACTTAATAGAGCAGCATAAACTGTCTACCGACAGGAAAATCGAACGATGCATTTAATACAGGGTATTCTTTGGCGGCAAAACGTCCAGTCCATATTTTTATCTTTTTAACTATTTACGAACATTTGTGAAAACCATTTTACTGAGACAGCTCCTTTTAGGAGGTGATGGTTTGGAATACCTAACCAGTTACGGCTGCACTCACCATCCATCTGTATAAGTAGCTCAGATTTGACCCTTCTGCTAGCTTCATGTTCACTGTCAGAACCTCTCTTGCTGCAGATAGAGTCGATCTCGTCTATGAAAATTGTACTCGGAGCATAAAATCGAGCCTGTGAAAAACATTACACCAAAATATCCCATTCTTGACCATATCCCAGCAAGACAACCCATTTACTCCTATCAGCATGGAATGCAATGGCTACAGTAAAAACCTGCGACTAAGAACCTAGTTTTTAACAACCTGCTAGGCTAAAATTTGTCAGTTAGGCCCCATCTATATTAGAACTTGCTTGGCCTAAAATTTGAAAAAGGTTCTTATTTTCCAAGACCATTTGTTTTTGGAGACAAAGGTGCCTTATCACTCCAGCTGCAATTGTAACCGTGTATAATGAGGTTTTACCTAAGAAATGAGCTGAATACCACTAAATACTCTTAGCTACAAAAAAAAATAAGAACCTAAATAGCGTAAATTTGTGCTAAATACCATTTATGTAAGAACCTGTTTAGGCTAACTTCAGAAAATGCACGTTCTTAGTCACAGGTTTTTACTGTGCTCCACTGCATCCCATGCCACATTTATCCAGCAGTATATAAATAAACAACAAATACCAGGATTTTTCCACCTATTTAGAGCCAAAAAAAAAAATCACAGAGTTTTCTAGCACCATGGTAGGAAATAATTTACTACTTCAAATTCCAAGAAGTTTTAATGAATTCCATGAGAAGTTTGGATACAAGAAAAACAACAAACCGATAATGATTAGTATATAACTACAGTACTTGCCATTTCAAACAACAGTCTGACAAGCTTTTCAGACTCTCCACGATATTTAGATGTAAGCGTTGATGATGTGACATTGAAGAATGTTGTACCGCATTCTGTAGCCACAGCTTTAGCTAACATTGTCTTTCCAGTTCCTGGAGGACCCACCATACATACTCCCTGGAGAGAGTAGAAAATGAGAACAATTTTTGCACAAACAAAGTCAAGGGCCTTCTACATGTACATGGTGATGTTACGTACCTTAATGTTGCTTAATTTCGCAGGCACTTAATTTCAAGGAGTTTATTTTCACGATTTCAATTGGGCATTAAATTTCATGATCCATGTGCTTTCAACTTCATTTTACCTTTCAAAAAGTCTGAACTTTTAAAAATTTTTTAATAAACTGGAACAAGCAGATGATAGCTCTACTCTCCACTCCATATATGAAATCTTTACACATTTACATCATTTCACTACAGAAAATAAAAAATAGAACTTAACAGTAAAAATAAGTTAACAATTTATGTGTTGTTATAACATGTTAACCACTTTTTTGTGTGATTTGAATTTTCTTCACGAGAATTAAATTCTATGTGTTTAAATTTTGCAAGGATTTTTATTTGCAGGTCTAATTTTGGGATTTTTTAACAATCAACAAAAACGCAAAATTAAAAGACCTGCAAAAGTACCAGTAAGTACCCATAAAGTACATCAGTTAGTGAGATGTACAGTGTAGTTTTGGGTTGAAAAAAGAGATGCCAAAAAGTTTTCTGTATCTAAACTCTCATAGCCACCACATGCTTTTTCTTTTTTAAAATTTTACATTTTTGGAATTTATTGCAACTTTATATTTCCTTGGGTGACAAAAAAAACCTGCTACAAAACGTACCTTCCATGGCCGGCGGATACCTGTGAAGTAGTCTGGCATAAGAAGGGGTAACACCACTGCTTCTTCTAACAGCTTTTTTGCCTCTCCTAAACCAGCAATGTCACTCCTGCAATATGAAACAAACAACAAATGAAGAAAACATCCAACATTTTGGCACACCAGCAACAGTTTCCCTATGAAATGATGCCTGAGGAAACAGTGCAGATCATATGGCTTGTCTGTTTTTAATTTACTGGAAAAGACTGCTCATATCACATATTGATTACTGATACTTCAATTTAACGATGTCAAGCCATTTGTGGATGTAATCACCTCAAAGTTTTCACTTGAGACACATGCAAGGCATTTATTTCATTCTCAGAATTTAGTCAAACTGTATTAATCAACTTTTAAAAATTATTACAAGTCCATACCAATGAACATTAGGATTCTTCTGCAAAATATCCCTTTCTAAGGCCTCAACCAGATCTTTATCATAGCCACTGCCATCAAATCTCTTCTCACCATCGCCCTCACCTTCCTCTTTACTTTCACCCTGTTGGTATCAATATTACATGTATTAAACTGGAGATACAACAAAAAAACACCTTAGGAAAAGCTACTAATAATATTATTGTTTTTGCCCAACTCTGTCTTCATGGATACCTACCTCTATATTCGCCACTTTAGGAATGAGAAGGGAGCTGGAGCCAAAATGCACCCGCAATATAAACATTTTATTGTTTCTCAGATTGTACTAGGGCTGGTCAGCTGTTGGCCAATTTTTCTTTCCTGTCCCAGGTAACAGGGACAGCAATGATGTCTGCCAACATCAATGCCTTTAAGATTACTTATTTCTAGAGTATTCATTGTAAACAGATTTTGTATTAATAGATTTTGTAGCATTAATAAATTGTAAATAGATTTTGTAGAATGATTTGTAAAGTGTTATGAGCAGTTAGTGAAATAATGCTGTAAAAAATTTAAAAAAAGACTCTTCTCTTTGTGAACGTTAACTCAACTCAGTTTCCTTCTTGTTTTTAAATAGTGAATCAAATTAACACATTGCTCAAACAGTAACTGACACCTGGAGTTGGTCCCTACCCTTCTTTGCTCCTTTTAGCTGACTCTCTATAAGTATTTGATGGACAGATCTCTAAAACAGACACCTATAGCTGGCCCCAAATGTGTCAACTGTATTATTTTTATATTTACTAAATTACAATGGATCTTTCTTGCCTTGTGCTCTTTCTTAGCAGCACCCTTGTCTTTGTCTCCTTTTTGCTGGCCACGCCCTCTATCCCCTCTGTCAGCCTGCCTGGGTTCACGTGAAGGTTTATTGCTTGCTGCACTAGCTGGTTTGCGTCCTCCCTTATCTGCAGCTCGCTCACGGTCAGGACGTCTGCTTGGTCCTGCAGATGGGCGATTAACTGAGGGATTGTAATCATCATTTTTCCTGACAACTGGACGTGGAGCAGGTTTGGAAGGCCTTGAAAGGGTTGTAAAGAACATGAAACATTTTGCGATGGGTTAATTATTTCCTTAGTGTGACTGATTGTTGAGTTAAAATGAATTTGCTGAATATGTTGCTGTCAGAAGCTAACTAACTGGCTAGTAATTAGTTCAAGTGTGTTATTTGATGAAGTAAAATTTGTGCATGTTAGTACAAAATTTCAACATTCCAGTCCCTATATTACAAAAATGTCTGGTTATTTCAGGACTCAATCATCTCATGGCATGATCAGTGCAGGACCTGATTTGAGACTCGAGACTTTTTTCTTTGTTCCATGCTATTGGCATGATTATCACATCTTTCCTAAGGGTGGGATTGTTTTTACTCCTAAATATTAAATGCTTCATGGAAAAAGATGCAAAATGAGAACAACTCTCTTGCCTTTCATTTACCTGTGATCTCTTTCCACTGGTGTGGGTGGAGGCCAAACATCAGGGTCTCTAGTTGGCTCATCCTCATTTGAACGCCGTGGACCACCAAAATGAACAGTGTCTTTCTTGAAGTTGGCAAGAGTTTGATTTATCTCTTTGACTTGGTCATATTCCTTGACAATCGACTGACGCACCTTCGAATGAGGCCAAAAAATTAGTAATGTTTATGGTTAAAAAACAGACAACAAAACCTTCCAAGTAGTAGTAGTACTAGTAGTAGTAGTTCTGCGAGCCATATTTTTCAACAAAGAAGCTTCGGCTATCCTGTTTATATATTGCTTTATATGTACTACATCTGATGAAATTTCAGATCACATAACTCAGGAGCGGGCCTCCACTATTTTTAATCTAGGTGACTTTTCTAACACAATAAACAGGCAACCCACCTGATGCCATTCTTGTTTCATGATGGCATCATCTTTAAGTTGTTGGATGTGCTTCTGTATCTGCTGGATGACTCCTTGGTAATACACCAGCGATGTGTCATAATTACCAAGAAGAGCATATTCCCGCGCCATCTTGGCATTTTCACAGATTTCAGCCAGACTCATTTCCTTCACACAAGAATAAAATTTAATGTCAACTTCAAAAGTATCCATGAATTTACAACAGTCAGTACCACCAGCCTGTTTTCAATGAACAGCTGATTGGTTTTTACTTTGATAAAAAAGTTGTATCATAATTAGCATTATTACTGAGAGGATTGTTCTACCATTGTTACTTGACAATGCTGGTCTTCTCTAACAAAGCTGTTTCTTTTACAGATCTTAGATGATGAGGATGTAAAAGATGCCAGTCTCAGGGCATTTTCCTGAGGGCTTCTAACAGTCTGTTTACATGGAGGGAGGAAGATCCTACAAACAGGAAGATCCTAGAAGGTGGAACAACTTCTTGTTGGGTTCACATGCAGAAATTTTGGTCCTCGTGGTTAACAGTAGAGAAAAAATTAAAGATTAAAGTTAACCCACTAAACGACTAGCCGCCATTTTGGTCTGGTTTGTCCCTAGTACTAGGATCTTCCTGCCTCTCATCTAGGAAGATCCTAGCGCTAGCACAGGTACAACTTTTTGCATGTAAACGGAATACAGAAAAAATATGGCAAAAGGATGATCCTCCTTATAGGATCTTCCTGGTGCTACGATCTTCCTTCCTCCATGTAAGCCGTCCCTAAGAATAAATATTAATTTCTGAAGGGGTCTACGATAGAAAAGAATTTTCTGAATCGGTGCGGCCAAAAACATTTCATCAATTTGGGGGAGGGGTGGTGGTGGTGGATATTAAGAGCAATGGCCCTCAGAATGAAAGTTTAGTAATGGAACCCCAATTTTAATTCTAAACGTCAACCTCGATAACGACAATTATATCTACAGCTGGCAGTGGAGAGAGGAGTGTTTCTGAGACATAAAAACAACATGAAATATATTTAACGTGACAAGATTACTAAATCAACTAAATTGAAGATATTTTTCTCCTTGTACTTTCAATCAAAAAACTCCACAACGAAATAAAACATTACTTGTGGCTTAATTAACCAAAAATATACAAACCAAAGTACACATTGGTAGGTTGAGGCAAGAAAAAAAAATTGACAGAAGCACCTGGGGTCGACAAAACATCGAACAATAAATTAGCCGAATTCGACCACACGTTCTGCCTAAATGTCCTTCTAATTTTTTCTCTCTACCTCTACATACCTCTGTGTTTTAGACTTACCTAGTTATATATCGAAAAACAAAATTCCCGAGGAGAAATAACTGTATTATCGAAGTGTCAAGGCATCCGTTGAAAAACTGATTTGAGCATGCTCTTTGGCGCGCTTATTTTGCATTGCATCACGGGATATGTATTGGCTTTGATTCAAACAAACATGGCAGCGGTCACATGAGTAGTACTTTCTGTTTTCCTTACTGGAAAACGACATTATATTGAGTTGACTGCGATTACAGAGATACTGAAACCTCGAGAAAGGTGATCATAGTCGTGAATCTTTAATTCTGAACTTTTTGGAGACAGTTTTAAGTTCAATGTTGTGAAACCACGCGAACGGAAGTGTGAGAGGGAGTTTCCCTGGAACGTCAGATCTTTCGGACCTACGGTGTAGAAAACTCTAATCGATTGAGCTCTGAAAGAAAAACGCCAGTAACAGTGGACGTTTTTCGTTGATAATCGAAGCTTGCACCTTGATAGAGGACGAAAAAACAATTTGAAATGGAGGAAGAAGATTTGCAGCCAGATTCACCACCAGGGTTTGTGGAGGAGATCGATAGTTCTGAATTGGAGTATATCGAGGTACATACTGATACATGTACACATAGAGAACTTCCTTGTATGTAGCTTGTTTGTCGCCAATTTGTAAAACGTATTTAATTTTTAAGTGTCTTAATCACGGTTCAGAGACAAATTTTGATAGTTTCACGAAATCAAACATAATTATTAATGTTTTACAGCGTGGCAGCTTACTAGGTTTTCATTCAGGCGAAAGATAAAATCGATACCTTCATTACAGGGCATGTACATCTCATTAAAACACAATACTAGGTGAGATTTCTGTACAGCCCCATACATTTATAATGCATACATGTTTCGACTCTATTCATATTCAGTAATTTGGTGAAATAGTTGGAAATTGCTGCATGCATTGTATTGTGTACGTGGGGCTGTATGGAAATCTTACCCAATGCTGCCTTTTCTGCCATACATTACTTCTCAATGAAACCCCAAACTTACAGGTGTATGCGCATGCCAAATGTCCTTATTCAGGATCTTGCAAGTTATGAATGTAAATGTAGATGTAGATGCTTTGCATAGCCTGAGGAAACAGCTGACATTTTGTGACTTTGCCGCTGTTTCCCTACGAAACGACTGAAGAAATTCCATACTGATGATGTGTCAATACTCAGATCTGGGTTGGGCTACTGATTGATTGTACTACGAGAGAAATTTGCTTCAACCAATCAGAAGTACTAGCCAGATCTGGGTAGTGATGCGTCATCAGTGTGGAATTTCTGAAGTCTTTGCTCAGAAGTCATTTCACAGGAAAACCAGTGGTGTGGTCATAAAATGTCAACTGTTTTCTCTGGCATTGTTGTATTCAGTGCAGAAAAAATTCACATCCTGTAAATGGAGGACAGGGTTTTGGGTCATGCCTCCTCCCACCACATCTCCAGATAAATTTTCTAAAACCGCTAGATCAATGCACCTCCTCCTGACTGGATTTCGAAGGTCAAAGATGCCCAGATTTCGAATAATGTCAATAATTGTTTTGGAGGTGGTTTATAATATTATATTAGAAGAAGAGGGATAATTGAATTCAAAAGCCCTTTTTTGTTTTTATTTTCATCTCATGGCAATAATTTAAGATTTGCAATTTTGCAGTTCCTTTTGACTTAAATGCTGGAAATTGCATTTTGTTAAAATACACGTAAAAAGTCCAAATTAATGTGCAAAAATCCATTTTTATTTTTGAATATTGTAGAGGCTTCATTTTGTGGTCCCAAAAACTGTCTGTATTCTATGTGGATTTGTAGTGCAAACGAAGATACATCTACTTTTTTTGGACGAATGCTCTCCTGCCATCTGGGACAATGAAACTAACAGAGAGTTGAGGCAAATCGGAAAATAATTTCATGGGACCAGTTGATGCCCCACCTCCCTCAGTTTTTAGTAATATTGCTTTCTGTAATAAAAAGAAACACCTGCTCTGCACCCTATCTATATCTCATTTAGAGGTTTTTTCCTCTAAGACCTCCCCATCCCTGACAAATAATTTTCTTTCTTAGGGTTCTTTGTGATACCCAACCCCTTGGAATTTCTATATTACACCACTTGGTCCTCTTTATTCAAATTTGTGATTCTTGTATAGTTTACCCAGACCTTAGAGAATTCTTGTGATACTATACCTTTAGGCTGCCAAAATCTGTTCTTTGTCTTGTACATTATTTTTAAGACTGTAGGAAGAGGTGCCTTTGGGGTTGTATCCAAAGCAATGTTTCGAAACAAGTTCATTGTTGCTGTTAAGGCCATTGAAACGGAAGCAGAAAAGAAAGCTTTTATTGTTGAGGTAACTGTCTGATAACTGTAGTCTACTATTTTTCTACCAATAAATATTTCCCAGCAACCTCAGCCTGCCTTTAGTTTTTTTAAAAAATTGTTTGTCAGTGCTATAGTTTCTTGATACCTTGCAAGGATCTTTTGTTTTTTGGACAAACACTATTGTTTGTGAAGTTAATACATGTGATAAACTGCACTGGTGAATGCCACTGCTGACAAAAATAACATTCCTACTAAGAGACAAATATTGATTAAAAGTGAAGAAAATCCAAGAGAGATTGACATTAATCATTAACTGTATTACTATCATTAATGTTAACCTCGTGGATTTTCATCACTTTTAATCAATTTGTATCTTTGTAGGAAGGTTATTTTTTTAATAAATTATATAATAATACTATACTTTTTATTACAACTTACAAAAGCTATTATGTCAACAAACAACAGCAGAAAGATTTTAGCCTGTAGATGACAGGTATTAATTGTATAATTTATCTAGAAAATACTTATCTAGAAAAATCCCAAAAATTTAATGCTCTCTCAAATCTCACTATCACAATAAGAAGGTCTCCAGCACTTTTGTTATAATATAGCATTTATACTAGTGCTTTGGTTTCCTATAAGAGTTTTTCTATGACTGTATTCAAAGGAGTGTCTGTAGTGATATTAATATTTACAATTCTTTACCTAAAGGTGCAGCAGTTGTCTCGTATCAGCCATCCCAGCATTATCAAGCTTTACGGTGCCTGTACAACACAAGATCCTGTAAGTTTTAACCTGTTGAGCGTACATATGGTCTGTTGTTATTCATTTTTATAAAATAACTAAGATAATATAGTACACTTGCTCTGATCAGCGGAGAGGCGTGTTTGCATGAGCTAGAGTTTGTAAACACAGTTGTGACTTCAATATGCTTTGCTGTGGGCACGTTTATCACACAAGCACAAATGGAAAAGGTTTTGGGGTGAAAACTTGACAAGTTTAGTTTATTTACCCATTTCCTTGTTGGCTGAAACTTGGAAAATCTTTACAATTACACTGTTTGCTGTGTCAATTTTTTTCACATAAGCTGACATTTTAAGCAAGGAAAATTTGTATTTCAAAAAGCATATTTTTTGCAAAACGGGAACTGATTATGTGTACAAAACTTCATCTACAACATTTCGCAACTGGTAAGAATATTTCTCCTTTAATCAGTTCCATAAGCAAAGAGTTTTTCTTTTTTTTCTCGAAAGTTGTTTTATAAAAGCAATATTTTACCTTTTTCCTGGGTTTGCGTAGCCTGACATAAACACTGGAGGGGTTGAAAGAATTCTCAACAGTTATGCAAACCCTCGACTTTGACTCTGGTTTGCATAACTGTCTTGAATTCTCCCAACCCCTCTCCTGTTTACACCAGTGATGCAAATACAGAGAACATTCATTGGCTGATAACACTTACCAAGACCTTGATTATTTCAGATTTAACAAAAACTGAATCTAATAATACAATGATAATAAAAATATTATTATTGTTTTACTTTGTTTCGAAGAAAATAATGTCAAACACAACTTGGGGTGGATAACAGTTAAATTGACATTGCTCTTGGAAATCATGCACTGTATTAAATTTTGCAAACTACAGATTAGTCAGTTATCTGCAGGTTGCAGTCTTAGGCTCTTAGCCAATGTGAAGATAGTTTGTGTGTGCAATATAATAACAATAATAATAACAATAACAGCGATTTAACAATTCATTGTTTGTTCAGGTGTGTCTTGTAATGGAGTATGCAGAAGGAGGCTCTCTCTACAACTGTAAGTGTACACATGTTAAAGATGTGCTAATCAGCATGTCACAAGTGTGGGACAATAAAAATCTGGATCATTATATGTTTCTGGGAAACTGCCTACCTACCCCTCCCTTAAGCCAACATTTAGCCCTAAGTGAGAGGTAAGTGTTAATGTTGGCTAAGGGGAGGGGTAGGTGGGCAGTTTCCCAGAAATGAACAATGATCCAAAAATCTTGAGTCATTGACAGGATTTGAGTCTATAACCTCCTGAACACTGGGAGGGCTCTCTATACTCTGAGCTGCAGAGAGACTCATGGACGAGCCAGAGACCCAGTACAGGGCTTGAAAAAAGGTTTTCTTGCTGGGCAAGTAACTTTTAAATCTTACTTGTCCAATGAGCATGGGGTCCAGGCAAGTTGTGATCTTCTTGTGAAATCATTATTTAAGAAAAGTAAGAAGTGGGCTCAGGAAAGCAAAATGTGGGAGCTGAAATTCAATTTTGATTTGAGCCCTGCTAGTTTCAGAATGTGTGGTTCCAGAAAATATCCAGACCCTCACCACGGGGGGAATTGGAAATTCCAGGGGGGTGGGGGAGTCAGAGGCCCAGGAAATTCCAGAAGGGAGCGGGGTTGGACCATAAAATCACTTTTCAGGGGGGCAATATCATTTTGTTTTTGACCTGGGATCGAACATTGCTTCTTACCGACCTGGTAGATCATTTTTAGGACATAAATAACTTGAAATATATCACTTAAGATACATTGTTCCTTTTAATCTTAACCAGGTTTCCTTTCTTCCAAAAGCGTTTTGGATGTAATTTCAAAGGAATTAGACCGACTACAACTCGTTTTATCGCATGCTCGTATATTCGGCCGCCATTACTCGTTACCAGTCTTCCCCAAAACATCAACGCATGCAACACAACACGTTGCGTCAGTCGATTGATAGATCAAAAGAGAGGCTATTTTGCCTCATGAAGCACAAGCTATACATTGTAACCATTTTAAAATGAAGAGTTTTTATTCTCCTTTTCATTTTCCTTTAATTTTGTGGATGAACGTGTGGCATGTTCTTGATTGAATTCTCGCTGAAATGGTGTCGATTTCACCAAACATTTATACGGCCATCGCACATCACGTCGCATCAGTCGATCGAAAAACAGTAAATTGAACTGGTTTCATTTCAAGTATCTTCAAGATGCAGGGGGTATTCATTGTTATCATTTCAGAATTCAGAGTTTTTATTCTCCTCTTTGTTTTGCATTAATTTTGTGGTCGTAAGTTTGACTTGTTCTGCATTCCCACACGAAATGGCGTTAATTCTATCAACATTAAGCCCATGCGATGAATAACAAATCTAAGCTTGCCCTGATTAAGGTAAATTCACAAATGTAACCGAATTATTAACTTTCTCTGTTTCATTTAAAGTAAGAGATGAGCAAAAATTACAGATCAGGTTACTTTGTGGTGGTGTAGTGTGTTTTAATGTTGCGAGATCACTCAAATAAATGGAAACAGAAGCATACAAGCTTCTGATGGAAACCGTTGGGTACAACCATAAGTTGCCTCATTCTTCTACTTTAATAGTCCTTCTTCGTGAAAATGAACTTTTCCAGAGGGGTTGGGGGGTCTTTGTCACACTTGTGGAAATTCGGAAGGGGTGGGGGGTCATCAGTTCCCTGCAAAAATGGAAAATCCAGGGAGGTGGGGGGGTCCTAAGTGAAATTCCCTCCATGGTGGGGGTCTGGATATTTTCTGGAACTACACAATGAACTCTGTAATAAAATGTCCATATTGCACTGTGTTACTGTACATTTTGCAGTGCATCATTAGAAAAACCTGGCTACTGCATTTGTCAAGGTTTCAATCCATCTCTTATTTGATTACCTGAGTCTGGAATGAAGAATGGTAACCAAAAGTTGATATTTTCTCTCTTTTGGTGCTCTGACTTGACAAATTTGTACAACAGGAGTTAAAACAAAGGCTTTCAGATTCATTGTGTGAGACAAAAGTCTTCCATCAAGCAGGACACTGAACTTCTGGTTGCTATTCATGACTTCCGGGGTGTCCGCGCTTTCTCTGCTTAAGCTCACTACCGGGGTAATAGGGATCTTAAGCAACGATGACGATATGACAGATAGGAGAATGGTAACAAAAACGATAGGCTTAGATTATCAAAACAAGCTTTGCTTGTGCATCACACTTTTTTGTACACTTCTTTGTCCTCACTACACAACTACGACAAGAAACATAATTTCACGTTTTCTGGAGGACATGATTACAAGACAATGATTTTCTGATTCCTTTTATCAGTCTTGTAGAATTTAACTCCAAAACATTCACCAACATTTGACAAATTGAACAACATGGAATAAGAGCAATGAATATGGAAACTGCATGAATTCACTTTTTAAGTGATGTTTCGCCCACATCGTCATAATAGTTGTCTTTGCTTAAGCTCTACAATATGAGACAGGTTTGAATCCTTTTGACCAAAGATTCAATTAAAAGTTCATTCCTCTTCTTGTTATGTCACCAGTGCTTCATTGGACTCACCCAACACGGCCTGCACCCCTCTACACATCCTCTCATGTGATGAGCTGGGCTCTGCAGTGTGCCAGAGGAGTAGAATATTTACATGGTATCAAACCCAAAGCAATCATCCACAGAGATCTCAAACCTCCAAAGTAAGTATGAACTGTCTTTAGCCCTTTAAGCCTCAATATCCACATACAAATTCTCCAAACTGATCTCCACACATTTTCTTGAGATTGCTTGATGGGGTTTTTCAGAGTCAATACCTCCCATGTTTGAGCATACTATGTCACCATTTATAAGGATCCTTTAGAACAAATTTTCATCTTAATCATAACAGTATAACAAAATTCTCAAATCTGATTGGCTATTAAAATTCTGTTCTTTTTTCAGCACTAGTAGGACAGTGTAATGGGACAGTACATGCCATGCTTGAGTAATTGGACAGAATACGCTATCGCACATGCGGACTTAAATGGCTTTTTTTTTCCTCTACTAGCAAAAAAACTCGAAATTTCTTGTGTTTTGATTTAAAAAAGCCTAAATATTGCAAATTTTGTTACAGTTATGATTAATTGGTAACAGGACTGGGTGGAGTCCAATTCAGTCTGTAATCATACTCGTGATTAAACAAATCGGACTCCCACTATGCGGTGGTGCGTTTTTGTCTAGCACTTGTATGATTACAGACCAAATTGGACTCCACTCAGTCCTATTACCATTATTTATCTAATACAGCTGTAGGGGTAATTTTTCCAAATCCTTGTTAATGGCAACGTAGTTTATGCTCAGACTTGTGAGGTATTGACCCTGAAACCCAGTCAAGCCACCTTAAAGAATATAAGCTGTATAATGAAGCAATTTGATTAAAGATCAAAGCTTTTTCCCTTTGATGATCATTTTGTCAATTCTCATAACCATTTCTCTTGATGATGTATTGGTGTTGCTAGGAGAAAATTGATGTTGGTCACTCTTGGGACTTAAAGGGTTAAACTAACAATATTTTTTCTTTACAAAGATCCCGGTTTTTGTGTTCTTTACAAAAAACCAGCTGAATGGATTTTGAATCTACCTGTAAAGCATAAGCATAAGGTCAAATCTAAATTTGTGGGGATTTATTATCTGTTTCTTTGGGTACTGGTTCCATACTTTTGGGCATCAACATGAAGTATTGACTTACATATTAATTTGTGAAGTGGATCAGAATTGTTTTGAACTCCAGACAGTCAACATGGGCACCCCAACCCACCCCCCTCTCCACCCTACAAAGCCCGATGAGAACAGGCTGTGGATATGTGGATATGTAAGATCCTGGAGTAACTAAGATGGCCATGCATGGGTCAGTCACAACAAGACTTGACTTTTGCATTGTGGTTAAAATTAGCCTCTCCAGCTTGTCAGAATGGCTATCTTTATCTTTTTTTTTATCTTGCAGTTTGTTGTTGACCAAATGTGGAACTGTAATAAAGATCTGTGACTTTGGAACAGCTTGTGACATGAAAACCTACATGACCAATAATAAGGGCAGTGCAGCGTGGATGGCTCCTGAAGTGTTTGAGGGTAAGTTAGTACTAGTGACTACAAGCCGTTGATAGCACTGACTATTTCTTTATTAATTTTAGTTACTTTTTTTACCTCTTTGTGAACTCATCAACAAAGATGATTAAGGGAGAGGGGGCTAATAGGCTGGTGGAGGCAAGATTAAGCACTTTCATAAGGTTGTTATTAAGTGTTTATTGAATTTTGTTTACTTTTTACATAGGGAACAACTACACTGAGAAGTGTGATGTCTTCAGGTGAGTACTTTGTAAATGCTGTACACCTCACCGCACTTTTTTGGTTTTTGTTTTCCTTTGTGTCTGATCATGGTATAGGCTAACAGAAAAAGAGGGTAATAAAAATTAATGAGGCCTCGCTTGTTGAGAGGCTGGATAGCGCTATCCACCAGATAAATCTCTATCCAGTGGATAGAGCAATTAGTTACCCTAATAGGTATCCGCTGGATAGTGATTTATCTGTTGGATAGTGCTATCCAACGTTTGAACAACTGGGGCCTGGTCTTTAATAATTATTAATTTTTGTAATTTTTGAGTCACTTTTAATTATTATATTATGCCCTAAAGTGCAAAGGAATAATTTATTTTTCAACATTGAATCAATCTCAATAATAACACAGGGCTTACTTACTTATTTAGGAAGGTATTTGCCTGTTATAGTTAGATTGATAAATTTTAGATTATAAATTTTAGGTATTCTTAAGTGTACTTTATTGTAATTATTGCAGGTAGTTGTAGTTGTAAGGTGCATTTGATCATATTCAGATGTTAATTTGCACCTAATAAGAAATAAATTATTATTATTATTATTATTATTATTATTATTATTATTAGGACTGTGCTCTGGCAGCCCCTGGTGCCTTACTTTTGCACTTGGGCATCTAGAAGTTGTAAAGTTTTCAGACTTCATAAACATCATATGACAGATTTGACAGGCTGAGAGCACTGGACTCCCTTCAATGAATTTTTCTTAGAGCACAGTCTTGTAACACATGCTTTTCTTTGAATTCAAATTGAGCAGTTTTGGCATAATACTATGGGAGATGATAACTCGCCGCAAGCCATATGAGGACATGCAGGGATTTAATGCATTCAGAATCATGTGGGCCGTTCATAATGGTATGTTTTTGTAAAACTTAGTGAATATTTGTTTTTTTTAATTCCTTTTATTATAATAGTGACTGTCATTGCTTGTGTGCTAAAGTAGAAGCATGGCCAGAGCTTAGGCACTTGGTACCTTTTTATCTGTGTTGGCCACAGTCTCTTTGTAACACGCACCGCAGTGTGAGCAGGGGGGTGTTAGGAGTTGAGAAGCAAAAAAGTCTCTCTCTCCCCCACTTCCTTCCTTCCATCTTACCCTGTGCATCACTAGGGAGAGGTGAGAGGAGACTGTCGATCAATCAGCCTTTTAATGCTTGGAATTGTTTTTAAGGCCCCAAAATATTTAATTCCCTTAGCTCTGAAATTCAGAATGCCTCTAGCACTGCTGTGTTCACTTCGAAACTAAAGTCATTTTTCTTGATATAAGCAAACTTTACTTCTCTTAATGCTTGTTTGTAGTTTTTCGCTTCTTTTGCTTTTTTCTTGTATTATTTTTCTTCCTTTTTCTTTTTCATTTTTGCACTTGCAGGTTCCGCCTTACCTGTTTTTGTCCTTTTTAATGCATATTTTCTGTGGTGTAAAGAAATTGTATGTGCTTCATTAATTAATTGTCTTGCCGATGCCAGTATTTTAGTTATCAATTAGGTAATATATTTTTAAAGGTGGTCCCTTGCCTCATCTTTTTTTAATTGTATGTATATATTCAACTTGTATGGCAAAATGATAATAAAACTGAAAAAAAAAACTGAAATAAATCATGACCAAAGATTGGGTGTTTCACGCGTTAGTTAGGTATGGTGTTGTTCTTTGGGGATTCTTTAGCATCTTTTGTATAATAATCACTCCTTCTGCAACCAAAAAAGTTACCACTGTCTGACTGCATTTTCAGTTTAATTTGTGGTCAATGTTATTTAAGTAGTGCAAAAAAGTATAATGAAATTGTGTTTAAAAATTTTCAACAATTACTAATTTTCAGGTACCAGACCACCATTAATAGCTGATATTCCAAAGCCAATTGAAGATCTGATGACCAGGTAAGAGTAAAGGTAATAGTGTGATTCATCAACAAAGTTTGTGATTAAAGATTAAAGTTTGTGATCAGGTAATTTCCTAAAGTTAACTTAATAATCCAAATAATAATATTGTTTTATTTTCCTCTTTGTAGAATAATTTTGCCTTGTAAAATAGTATTTTTATGGACAACGTTTGCAATCTTTTCGAATTCCTATTTTTTAAATTTAGGGAACCCATAATTTTGTTCACTAAATGATGCAACATTACTTTCTCCATTTTTTGTCTCCATTTTGTTCCTGTAATAGTATCTGAGTGTTTGGCAAAGAAATAGAATACAAATACAAATATACAAATAAAAAATACATCTACGTAAACTAGTCTATTGTTATGGGGCTGGCGTTGCAACGCATAGAATTTACATTAATCGTTTTGTGGTTATTTTAAATTTCCTGTCATGTTGATCAATTTTGTTGTTGATTTGATGTCCAGTTGTTGGGATAAAGTACCTTCCAAGAGACCATCCTTCACGAGAATTGTTCATATTCTACAGCACCTGGTTCAGGTAAGTCTCCTGGGTTCAAGGGGGGACTGCTGGCCCCTATGAAAGTGACATGGATAATTGTCGACCATTTATTTATACACAGAAATTCCTAGGGGTATCTTTTAAAGCATGATAACATTTGAAAGTGAGTGGCGTTTTTTCTTACAGTTTTTTCCAGGTTCGGATACCTGCCTGGTGTTTCCTGATGGTCCCCCAAGCAGTGAGAGTAGTTCATCTGGCTCTAGCTTGTCTCTTCTGAGTCCTCCATCGTCTCACCACCACGATCCCACAACTGCAACCCAGGGGAGTACTCTAAGTGACACTGTGATCAGTGTAAAGAGCCAGGCGTCTAGTGAAAGTGGTGGTGAACACGAAGGTGCGTACGAACTTGACGATGAACGGAAAGAGGAGGATGAAACACCAGTTCCTGAAGAAATCGAAGATGATGAGAAATCTCCCGATCAGGCAGCCTCTACGGAGCCATTATCACCTACTATAACTATCTCAGTGGATAACAAAAGTCCAACCGCACAGTTTTTCAGACAGCCTTCAGACTCGGGTGGATCACCATCATCGCATCCCAAACCGGGAACAGTTGCTGGTCTTCGTCCAATCAGCCCCGTACCTGGACCAATCCCTAGTGTAAATTTTCAACCTATCAAAATTGTGGCTGCATCCTCTAGTCCAAGTCCCAGCCTGATGGCAGCCCCTCCACGTACCTCAGCTGTGAGTCCAGTGCCAGGCTCAGGCCCTAGGATGTCCTTTCACCCTGCCAATCCCGCTCATCCAATAAGCCCTGCCATCAGCCCTGGCAACCCGGGAAGACATCCGGGCTACCCTGGAGATATCCCACGTGGCACGTTGCCACATGGTCATTATTACCCCTCTGGAGGCCCACTGGTAGGACCTGACAAACAAACTCCTCCTTTTATTTACTCTGAGGCTCGGGGCTCAGGGGTCACAGGGGGCATGACATCCCCGTACAGATCCCCCAGCCCCCTCCCTCCCAGTCTCAACCAGCATGGTGTACACTCCCCAAATGTAATGTACCCTCCAGTGTCCAACTACAACTTTCCACCGTCTGGTACTGCTGCAATACAGATGCCAACGCCGAATACTGTTCCGTCTGTGCCTAGAAACACTCCTGTCGCTGGCTTTCAAATGCTGCCACGTGACGATCACGGTCTGGATCTGGAAGAGCTGCGAATAGCCCTTCAGAATGATCTTGATCCTCCAGAGCTTGCCAACAGAGTTCATAACTCCAGTGGACGTTCTACGCCATCACAAGGCTCACATACAGGACATTCCAGTCAGGCTAGTTCAGGGGCAGGCAGCCCTTATCCAGACAGGAAGGTCAGTTGGCCAGCGGCGTCACATGCGCGTCACCCACCCTACCCAATGAACAGATCAGTGTCATCTCCGGAGAGAAAGTACAGCGGAGACAAGGAAAGCCCATTGCCAAGGAGACATAACTTAGGTATCGTATTTTGCACCTACAGTTTAAGCCCCTGTGAGCGTACACCATCCGGAAGGAAAATGCGTCTGTAGATGGTTTACGGTCATCTCGCCACCAACCATCTCGCCACCCTGAATGAAATCGCCACCACGAAGTCTACTCGCCACGGTATAATAACTCTGCAATAATTGACACTGTTTACCTACCTGAGATTGTTACTTCTTCCTCAAGCCCAATAATATAAGTTTATCGATTTTAATTGACACCTTGTGTATAATTGCGACTTTTTAATACCTTAACCAGGCTTATTTGCATCCCTCGAGAGGTGCGTTTTAAAATCCAACAGCCTTTCTTATGAAAGTTGGCTAACATTGTCACTTGAACCTTAACTCCTTTAAAAATTTCATTGTAAATTTAAAGTGAAATAATTCTTTTGAGTCTTGTCCTTTCGATATATATTTCTTGGTGGTGATTTCGTTGGTGGCGAGATGGTTTGGTAACAGGCGAGGAGTTGCTTACGAGGATGATCCTAGTCAGTGGCCACTAGCAGAAACAGGCGGTCCCTTATGGGAGCTTGCACCACCCCAATAAACGTTAAAGATACAACTGTGAAAAATTACTTTCGTTTCATTGATGTATGCTGTAGAATTCGTTGCGAAAACAGACTGTCGTGCTTGTGTAGGCATAGGTAATGGTAAGGGTAAAGGCGCACACGAGCCAAAGGCCCAAACGTCCGGACCTTATACCGGTTTCATTAGCATGAATCATGCCTAGGAGTATTGCTACTCCCCCTTGGACAGGATGCTAGTCCATCGCATTGTTACCTCCAGCAGTATGTCGCCTGTACCCATTTAGGGAGAGGGTATAAAGTAGAGTAAAGTTCCTTGCCTAAGGAGTAAGATGACCAAACAAGACAACCACATCTCCGTGTTTAAGATGCGATCGTCTTCCTCTGATTTTCTTTCAAGACGTTGAGAGTTGGTTTGTTATAGAATACTGACTAAAATATTTTGCCTCCCTTAATGCGTTTGAATACTAGCATCACTTAGTGTTTAAAACAAACAGTGGTAATCCTGTGTTGTAAGATCTACTTGATACTTAACGTTGTGAAATCTCTTTACTTCAGACCAAACGTTGTTCCCCAACATACTCCAAGCGTTAGATGCCCATCTACAGGTACGTGGTCTTGACTTTATGAAATGATTTGTTTTTTTGTAATATGGTTGAAATCGTCGAGTCTGTGTACAGACCTTGTTTTCTTATTCTTTTCGGGGTGGAGGGTTAAGCGCGATTGAGAAAAAGAAAGGATTCCCTACCCCCACCCCTTTGGGCTTGTGGTCAATAACTCCCCCGTCGTTTTTATTTTCACATGGGCGCTCGACGATCTCTAAAGAGAAAATGGAGGGTCTGTGAATAGGCTATTGAAACTACCACTTCATTGGATGAGGACAGTAACGAGTAAGACGTTCCAATGAACTGTAATAGAGTACTAAGTCAGGGGGTCGAAGTTTTGATCACTTGATTATATGGAACGTACTAATATAAAAAACATTTGGCAAAGCATTTATTTAAAATTAGTCATCAACCTTCCCAGATTATATATCCTTTCTCTTACTGCGATCCTCTACTTCATCTTCGTAGATTTTGTTCTTCGGAAGAAGTACCTCTGCTCCAATACGTGCTTTCCCCCACCGATTAAGCCCCTAATGACCCAATCCCTCCGCTATGTTTCCCCTCAATAAACCACCAAATAAGGCGAAGAAGGGTAAGGAAACCTCCGCCCTCTTTGAACGCGGGTGTGGGGTAAAAAGAAGGGTTTCAATGGGGTTAACCGTCAACCGTCAAACGGCCTAATATTTACTGAGCTGTCGACCGTCAAAAAAGGTTATATTTACCGTCAAAAATGCTAATTACTGTTAACCGTAAAAAAGTTTTAAGGTATCTCAAATTCCACTATTTCAACTGATGTTCACGGACTTTGAATTTCTAAACAGGAAAACTCAGTTCCCCTGTTCTCAAAAACACACTCTATAGGCATTACAAGACCTCACAACTTGCTTATATCTGAAAATATTTCAAAATTTTAAAAGTGAATGGCAAATTAAAGGCAACCTCCAAGACGCAAAAGTTAAAATTAACTTATTCATTTCAGAAATTAATATTTACTTAAATTCTTGGTCTAAATTTCTACTCAATAACCGTCAACCGTTTAGAGCTCTAAAATTTAACCGTCAACCGTCAAAGCTACCACCCCATTGATACCCTCAAAAGGGGGGCAAAAATGCCACTTTTCACCCCACGCCCTCGTGCCCTTTCGTGCCTCTTCCGCTTGGCTTAAAGAGAACAGAAACGACTGTCATGAAGGCTACCGAAAACAGTGAGCTTTCTTTCCAGAGACCCTTAACCCTTAAAACCCAAACATCAAAATTTTAATTCTCATTGTTGCCTTAACCTTTTAAGCCCCAATATCCACATACAAATTCTCCAAACTGATCTTTATACATTTTCTTAAAGAATAAGTTGAGAGAATTTGATGAAAGATCAAAGCATTTTCTCTTGGCAATCAATGGATATGGTTAGGAGAAAATTGATGTTGGACACCATTGGGACTTAAAGGGTTAATACATTTCCTACGGAAGGATTTGGGGGATGATGTTAAATTAATCTTCTGTGATCATCTCCTTAATTCTCATTACCACTCTGTTTTATAAAGCACTCGTAGGGTTTAAAGGGTTAATGGAACGTAAAACTGTCTCCTTGGGGCCAGTCATTAAGTACCTATTATTGGAGGAAATGGTGGGGTCTTGTACTTATCATATGTTTTATTACCATTGCAGCCTATTGCACCTAACCCTTCAATTCCAGAGTCACAAGAAATTTATGATGAACATATTAAGGTACTGAAAAAATATCAGTGACAGTAAATCTAGCTATTGGCCACTCCAGAAAATACCATAACATACCATAATGCTTTTTGATTGTCGCCCCAAAGTTTTGCATAAGCATTGTCTTTAGTTTCTCTTGGGAGTTAAAATGGCCCCAAGAGAAACTGAAAACAATGCTTATGCAAAATTTTGGGGTGACAAACAAAGAACATTATGGTATGTTATGGTATTTCTGGAGTGGTCAATTAAATTTCCAATTTGTATGTAAATTATCGTATAAGTAGTAAAGCAAAATAATTAAAGCTTTGGTAAAACGGGCAACAAAAAACGTGCATTTTGTTTTGCAACATGGCTGCAAAATGAGTTGAATTGCGATGTTGTTCGTTTTACCACCCACGAATCAAACCTCTCTGCAACAAATCAGATATTGCAGGTTGCGAAAAGTTTTTGCAGAAAGTAGAGGCCCTAATAATCCAAACAAATGGTACAGAAAATTTCGGTAGATCCGGTGAAAGCGGGAAAAAGGTAATACCTCGAAAGGTATTACCTTTTTTACAAAAATATTCCACTGGGATGAATGGTGCCAGTTGAAGTCTTCCCGGAATTACCATGATGGTAAGCGCTCCAGGCCTACCCTAAAACGACCCGAAAAGTCGTGTGTCATTTACATTCCAACCGAATTTTCTAGAAACGTTTTGTGAATGGTAAACAACCTATGAGTAGTCCCCCACCCCTCACGAATGATCAATCTCCTTTTCCTGGATAATTACATTTAAATTGTTCAGCGCCAATTTTAACCTTGTTTGTTAAAAAAAGTTAACATTCCTTTCAAACACACGGGATGTCGTGAAAAAAAAAGCAATAGGTTTGATAAGCAAAACAACAGCAACGATTTTTTTGTTCATTTCCTTGCCGTCACTGCACGACTACGGCGTGAAAATGCCTAATTAGGGACCTTACAATCCGACAACAACGACGTCCGTGAAAACGTCCCTGAAAAATAGACTTCGCATCCTTTCACCTTTTTTCGCAATTATCGCAAGTTGCCCAGTTACTTAAAAGAAGAGAATTTGGGTTGGAGATGAAGGTAAGGGACCGCGCCCAAGTTCAGACAGAAATAGTAGAATTTATCGGCTTGCTGTTCTCGTTCTCAAGTAAACTTAAAATTTGGTCATTTCATGTCGTAGTTGTGCAGGGACGGCAACGAAAAAGCGTGATGCACTTGCAGAGTTGTTGGTTTGCTCAGTAAACCTATTGTTTTTTTTACCTTCCCGTTGACGTCACCGTCGTGGTACTTCTCACTTTGTGGAGGACGTGAACAGAAGACTTCGACTTTCTTTTTCGTTTCCTATACTTTGACACGGTCCTTTAGAATTCAACTCCAGAAAAATTTGCCAACATATGACTAATTGAACGAGATGGAATAAGCGCGAGAAAGTTTGGGACAGCGCGAATTCACTTTTTAACTGACGTTTTCGTAGCCGTCATTTTCGTTGCTTAAGCTCCCTAATAAAACACAGATGTTCACAACCCTGACAGTATAGTTTATCTACCTTTTAAAAATGTCCTTGTACCTATAATTCACACAGCTTGCCACAGAGTACATACAAGTTCAGACAGAAATGGCGGTGTGGCTTCAAAGAAAGTGAGTCATCTTTTCTAGTTTTTTTTTCTCTTTTATTTATAGAGCACATGTATAGAAGTCAGCAATCTTCTGATAAGCCTAACTACTGTTGATCCTACCACACTAGAAACACTTACTTTACTGGAAGACAAAAAAGCAGCGTCAATCGTCTTTGAGACGGACACTAAGTCCCCAAATACAGTTGCCTCGAATCGCTCACCGCCTCGCGAAGTGTCCCTCGCGGCATCGCGATCGATGAGGAGGAGCTGTAATCGCAGCCTATGACAGGCATTGTAGTGTTCGCTATCGCTAACGTACATGAGTGCGTTTTCGCTGTAGGCCAAGCCTGTGAGCAAGCTCTCCATTTAGGGGAGTCGCGAGAAGTCACGCGAGAGCCGCACGCGAAAGGAGACGGGAGAGAGAAGGGCTTCCCCGCTCGCTTGCGCGTTCTCACGCAGCTCGCTTCACTTGCCATGTAAGGGAGTTTAAGCAGCGACGTTTTTGAGCGACGCACGTTAACCGGAAGTGAGCCTTTCTCTCTTTTAAAATACCTTGACGCTACCAAATTTTCTTTGCTTTTATAGAGACGATTTGCTCAAAAGTTTGTTTAAATCACGGCTCATGCGTCGCTCAAAAACGTTATTAAAACATTAGAGCACCTGCTCGCAGGCTACTGTATGCCTGACAATTGCGACTTGTGACTCACATTGACCATACTTACTCAAAGTCATTTTAATTTCTTAATTGCACTTCTAGTAGTTATTATTTCTGATTTTGCTGCAGAGTGGATCTTGAAAGAGATTTAGAAGAATATGAAAAAGAGCAGCAAATTAATGCGCAGTATGTAGAGGAGTTTGCAATGCTGACTAGTGAAAAGGTATGTTTAGTGTTAAAGCGTTTTGACCGGCCAGAGAAATTTTAGGCTAATGACGTCTTTCTTCTGACTGGTCAAAATGTTAAAAATAACACGGTAGTAACTTGCACGTACTAACCTAACAAGCAAAAACATAAAGTGAAAAAAGATGCTTGTTCTCTTGAAACATTATGGTGTTAAATGGTTGTTTGCTATTTACATGGGCAAACCGGTCGGTTCACGGTTTGGGCAAATGGCAAGCAAAATTCAGGGCTGGCAAATTTCATCCCGGAATCGCGTTTACCATTTGTACAAATCAGTTCCATACACCCCAAAACGGCCTGTACATGGTAAACAACCAGTGTGCGTGTGTGTGTGTTTTTCCAGGTGGCTTGTTATTCGTGTCGGATCAAAATGACCGGCAAACCGAAAGTTTGTCCGGACAAATGGTGGTCATCTTGGGCGGACCGTTGACCGGGCGCTATTTTAAGCCCTAAACATTTCATCCTAACATCGGTTGAAAACTCTGTGTAGATTCTCAGGCAGTGATGATTAAATTAATCAATTGATTTGTGGTTTGCTTTTCATTTAGGATAACCTTCTGCTGCTTCATAACAGCTTGAGAACACAGTTGGAAGCTATGAAGCGTCAACAAGGCCGTCCATTGAGCCAGTATCGATCATGACGATTATGAAAGCAGTCAAGTCATTCATAATGTATAGACTAATGTATTTCCTGTACATTATACGTCGTGAACTGTAGACAGTTCTATCATTATATTGTTTTCTTCAGTTGTGAAGAATTTCCGTCTAGTACTTAGTACCGTAAGTTATTACGCAGAGCCGGATTTCAATGAAATGTTGAAGGTTCTTTTGATATTTCTTTGGTTTTGTATTGCCACGCTCTGTGATTGGCTGAAAAATCTCTGCCACTTTCTCAACCAATCACAAACAAAAATCAGCGTCTGCTTCCAGCTCTGATTGGTTCAATGTTTGCATCATATGCAGACATCTTGACGTGTTAGTTTTACGGCATTACATTGAAAACCGCTCCACAAATGTCAGCGTTTTGTACCAGTCATTAGCCTGCGAACCGCAGACGCATT